CCCCCCCCCTCCCTCCCCACACCCATTCCTCTCGGACTCTAGATGGGCACTTGGACTTCTCATATGATCGCACCTGCCTCGGATCTCATTCCCATTCCACGCGAAGCGAAAGAGAACCTCACAGACGTCATGGGTGAGCACGAATTGATGAGCAGCCTTTGCTTTGTCGATGCGCACCTCTCCTCACCATCCAGACTTGCTGCTCGTCCTCATGTATTTTCGCCCACACCCCCTGGGCTTCGACAGGCTCCACCTTGATGATCAACCCGGCAACGGCGATTTGCATGCTGCGAGAATTTGAGCAGCTAAAGAAAGGGGACGTGATTGTGCAAAATGCGGCCAATTGTAAGTCCCTTTTCCAACACGTCCATCTGCGCCAGCTCCACACCTCATGTTCCAGAGGCGCGACTGCGAGTGCTCATACGTGTGCTCACACCACTTGCCTTTGACCCCGCAACGTTGCTGCTCAGCTGCTGTGGGACAAGCGGTGGTGCAGCTAGCAGCTCGTGTGCTAGGCGTAGAGACGATCAATTTCGTACGAGACAGGTGCGTCTTGCTCAGCCCGGGGCAAAGCTCCAAGCTCAGCTCGTAAATCTCACCAATCCCGCCCATGTTCCATTTGGCCCACCTGTGCTCGAATGATCCGCTCGCGCTCCGCGTACAGACCAGACTTGCAAAGCTTGCGCTCCGACTTTGAAGAGTGGGGAAGAGGAGGACCGGGAACGCACGTCTTTACGTACGAGGCCTTGTCCAGTAGGGAAACGTCGAGCGAGACCAAGGATGCGGTCAAGCGGATCGCCAATGGTAGACCTATCAAGCTGGCTCTGAATGCCTTGTGCGGAAAGGACACGACGAACATGTCCAAGTTGCTCGCGTGAGTGCAGCTGGGGCGGGGCTCAGCTCGGCGTACCAGGTCCGGCCCTGGTTCCCCCCTTCTCTCTCTTTTTGACTGCTAACGCTTGAAACTCTTTGCAACCGGCCGCCGCCGGGCCCACGAATTTGCTCCTTGATCGGTGATGCGGCCATACTTTCCCGGGACCTGTTGGGGGCGCGCGCGCGCTTTTCGCAACGCCAGACCTTCCGCTTCGCTCGTCACGTACGGAGCCATGTCGCGCTCCCCTCTATCCCTACCCGCATCCCTCTTGATCTTTCGAGATCTCAAAGCAAGAGGCTTCTGGATGACCACGTGGTATGCCATGCACACGCGACAGCAACGCGCTGCTCTGACTGCCGAGTTGGCGCGCTGGTATGCCGAGGCGATCTTGGCTCCGCCAAAGGCCAACATCATCACCCTCACGCATGATCAGCAGAGTGGAGAGGCGCAAGGTGAAAAGAGACATGTTGACCAAGCGGGAAGAATCATCAGCGAGACGATGCAGGGTTCTCAAGGAGCAAAGACGTTTTTGAGATTCCAGTGAAAAAAGACCAAAGTGAACCGGACGGCGGCGCGGGGGGGGGGGGGGGGGGCGCAATTCGCATGCCCTTCGATTCCTACCCGACCGCGTCATCCGTGTCCTCTTCTTTCTTTCGCAAAATGTGTGGACCCTACCGCCCCCGCCCCACAAGAAATCTCAATGCAATGGGATGCTGTTGAAGTCTTTGGATATTGCTGATATGGGATGATGAAGTACAGAAGCTGATTTGCGCGTGACTAGGACAAGGTTGGGGGAAAAAGGGCGCTGGGAAAAAGGGCGCTCTGAGCAAGCGCGCAAAGTACGGGGGGCAGGCAGGCAAAGAAGAGGGGGGGGGGACGTTGAATCCCCCTTTGATGGAAGCACGTGTAGAAGGGCAAGGGGCGAAAGTAAGTCGCAGTGGGGGCGCAAAGACAGACTCCAAGTTTGCGTTGTGAAAAAGGCAGAACAAAAAGGGGGAGGACTCAAGAAGATGGTTTTTTTTTTCGGTGGAACGCGGGTGCGTCGGAGGCGCTCTATAGGGGAGTGTTTGGGTGCATCAAAAGGGCAGACGGCCTTTCATTTGTTCGATCGATCGAACAGGTACGCGAATCAACGAAAAAGAAAGGCAGAATCCATGCGGGGGCCCTCAGAATAAACCGACTACTTGACCCTCCTCATCCAGGTCGATGTTGAGGTATCCGGGGGCTGTAGAGAGTCCGGGCATGGTCTGCATAGCGCCGCACAGCGGATAAAGGAATCCTGCACCTGCGCTAAGTTTGACGGATCGAATGGGTACTTTGAAGCCAGTCGGGGCACCTTTGAGCACGGGATCGTGCGAGAGGGAAAGCTGCAGGCGAGGCGAGGCGTTCGCAAGACTGGTCAGTCCACTTATTCCAGACCGAGGCCATCCCAAAACAAGGGCAAAGAACTCACGTGCGTCTTGGCCATGCAGATGGGCAAATTTCTGTATCCCTGTCTCGTGTACGTGTCGATTTGATTCTTTGCAAAGTCCGAAACCTCGATGCCATCCGCTCCGTACATTTCCCTCGCAATCGTTTCGATCTTCTTCTCAATGTCCTGGTTCAAATCGTACAGGAACTCAAAGTTGCTCTTTTCGCCTTCGAGCGTATCGATCAGGCCTTGAGCAAGGTCTTTGGCACCTTCGCCTCCCTGCGCCCAGTGATTGGCCGGGATGGCCTTGTCAGCTCCTGCCTTGAGCGCCTGCTTGACCACAAGGTCCAGCTCCGCTTGCGTGTCCGTAGAGAATCTGTTGACAGCAACGATGACCTTCAGACCAAATTTTTTTGCATTCTCGATATGCTTCTCGAGGTTGACGCAGCCTTTTTGCAGAATGTCCAGATTCTCCTGCAGGTAAACCTCCGAAAGCGGCTTGCCAGGCGTCACTTCCGGTCCTCCTCCGTGCGTCTTGAGCGCTCGCACCGTGGCTACCAGCACCACGGCGTCCGGCTTCAAGCCGCTCTCTCTGCACTTGATGTTGCAGAACTTTTCCATGCCTATATCCGCACCGAATCCAGCTTCCGTAATGACGTAGCCCGCGCTCGTATCGTCTTCGCCCTCTTCCGTACCCGCGAGTTTGAGCGCAATGGCGTCGGCAAGGATGCTGCTGTTTCCGTGCGCAATGTTGGCAAAAGGTCCAGCGTGCACAAAGACGGGAGTCCCTTCGAGCGTCTGCATCAAGTTCGGCTTGATCGCATCCTTCATGAGCACCGTCAATGCTCCTCCGATACCGATGTCATCCGCAGTGACGGGTTGTCCAGCTTTGCTAGAAGCCACGACCATGCGACCCAACCTCTCCCGCATATCCTGCAGGCTGCTGGCCAAAGCAAGAACAGCCATGCACTCGCTAGCAACTGCAATATCATATGCCGTCTCCCTGGTGTGTCCCTTCTCAGTGGGCGCTTGTCCGACCGTGATGCCTCTCAAGAAGCGATCATTGGTGTCGGTGACGCGATGCCAAGTGATCGTCTCGGGATCAATATCCAACCTGGCAAACTTGACGCGCTCCTCTTCCGTAAGCTCTTCCGGATCCGTCTTGTCGATGCCCAATTTCTTCAACCTCCTAAACATGACTGGTGCAAAAGATCTCTTGCCTTTCTTCTTTGGGCAAAGCCGGTCGAAGAGCGGACCATCCTTTTGAGTGGCCTCGTGGAACATGCGAGCGTCGATGGCTGCTGCCAAAAGGTTGTTGGCAGCTTGCACCGCATGATTATCGCCAGTCAAGTGAAGGTTGAACTCTTCCATCGGGATGACTTGCGCATAGCCTCCACCTGCTGCTCCACCCTTGATGCCGAACGTAGGTCCCTGGGAGGGTTGTCTGACGCAAGCAAAAGCTGGTTTGCCAAGATGAGCTCCCAGCGCCTGGGCCAATCCGATCGTCGTCGTGCTCTTGCCTTCACCAAGAGGAGTCGGTGTGATTCCTGCTACGACCACATATTTGCCATTCTTTCGATGTTGCAATCTTTCCAATACCGACAGGGCGACCTTTGCCTTGACGTCCCCATACGGTTCCAACTCCCTCGACAGCAGACCGATCTCCCTCGCGATGGTAGTGATGGGTCTTGGCGTCTGAGCTCTGGCCACTTCAATGTCCGAAGGTACCTTTTCGAGGATGTTGATGGGATTCAGCGAAGTGACGCCTCTCGCTCTTCCGCTGCTAGAGCTCTTGAGAGCCGATTCGAGCACGTTGACCATGAGCATGGCCACCGTCATGGGGCCCACACCACCGGGCACGGGAGTGATGGCTTTGGCAACTTTAGAAGCTTCATCAAAGTCCACATCTCCAACCAACCTTTGGCCGCTCTTTTTTGTCGAGTCAGCAATGTAGTTGGTCCCCACATCGATGACCACCCCGCCGGGTTTGATCCAGTCACCCTTGACAAACTGCGTCTTGCCTAGACCAGCGACGACGATATCGGCATCCTTGACGTGAGCCGCCACATCCTTCGTCTTGGAGTGACATTGCGTAACGGTGGCATTTCTGGATCGCAGCAGCGCTACCACGGGGTTTCCGACGATGTCAGATCTTCCAATGACGGTAGCTTTGAGTCCCGAGAGGTCTTTGAGTCCAGCTTCTTCCAACAGCCTAATGACTCCAGCAGGCGTGCAAGGCGCAAAAGCGGGATTGCAAGCTTTGCTGGACAAATGACCGATATTGAGCGCATGAAAACCGTCCACATCTTTCTCGGGCGAGACGGCTTCGGTGACTCTGCGCTCGGCAGCCGCATCGATGTGATTGCCCAAGGGAAGCTGCACGAGGATGCCATCGACCGAGGTGTCCTCGTTCAAATCTCCTACTCGACTGACGATCAGACTCTCCGATGTTCCTGCTGGCAGATGAACGTGGGTGAATTTCATGCCGCATTCTTCGGCTGCTAGACGTTTCATGCGAATGTACGTCGATGACGCGCTGTCCTCCCCAACTTGGACGATGACGAGATGAGGCTGGAACTTGGACTGCGTCTTGCGCACCTCGGCAATACGCGACGCTACGTCTGCCCGGACAGACCTGAATAAGTAGATGCGACGATGCAGTGGACGGTCAGCCTAAGCATGACATGCTTGAACGAGTGCGCGCGGTGCACCCCTACTCACTTGGCAATGGCCGTGCCGTCCAGAATGATGGCGCCCGAGCTGGACATGGTGAACTTGCTCCTCTTGGCGACGGGCTGAATGCTGGGCAATGTTGGGGTGATGATGCGCGCGAAGCTTTTGCCAGTCGCGGAGGGTAATGCGACTTGTCGAGATGCGGATGCGCAAATATACCGAGCCGGAGCTGGAGCTGGAGCTGGAGCTGGAGCTGGAGCTGCAGCTTGAGCTTGGATGGGGAGATGAGAAGGCTTGAGGCAGTGTGAGTAGGTAGATGTGCGAGTGCGGATGAGAGCTCGAAGGGAGCTTGAAGGTGGGTGCATCACACGTCGTGTGCGCGATGGACGACTGCGATTCACGGCGGGAGGAGATGGGCAGCAGCTAGCTGTGGCTGATGTATATAGGGTTGTTGTGTGATGTGCAGCTGAAGTCACGAGGGGATCGAAGACTTTGCTCGGGCGGGTGGGGTGGCTCAATCTCTCAAATTTGAATCGAGATTGAAGCTAGCTAGCTAGCGAGCGAGCGAGCGATAAGCCGGGAATGAGTCTGATGAGTGTGCATGCTAGCTTCCGTACCGTACCGCACCTCGACTCTGATCACCGCTCATCAAACTCACTGCACCGCTAGAAGATTGCCAGATACCGATCACGAGTCACGAAGAAGCGCTCGGCACACTCGTGACTCACCCTGTGGCTCGTGATGACTGGCTTTTGACGGGTGGTTGAGCGGTGTGGAGGGAAAAGCGGGTGTGTGCGTGCGTGGGCGTGCGGCCGGTGCGGGGCTTCTTCTACAATAATCTTGAATATAAGCTGCGCGCTAGTCACGCGTCTCGCTTTGCTATTCAAGATTCCGACGCTTTCTTATTTCTTCCTGCTGATACAGTACTCACCACTTTTCTTTTTCCATCTGACGCGATTTGATTGCAGTCACAACAGACAGAGTCAAGAGTGTGAGTGCATGGCCATCAGGCAGGCGGTAGTCAGCCGCGCGACCCATCTATCTGTGGCGCCTAGGCTCTCGTCACATTCGTCTCCCCACATTCACCATTTGATTCACAATTGTGAATTCGGAATTCGATCTCAAGACTCAGCGTGCATACATATTGATACAGTCAAAGTACGGGTACGCCAAGTATCATCAACGATTCAGACTTTCAGATATATATTTGAGCGCTCACCAAATAAAAAAGTTCTTTTTGCGGCAGACAGCATCAGCTATGGCGGAGCCGAGTGCGGTGACTTGCAGCAGGCACACTGGCCAGTCCACGTGGCTCAGCTGTCTAGAAGCACACAGCATGCATGATGCCCCGGGCTCTCCGCGCGCTCTCCGCTCTCCGCGCTTCTCCGCTTTCCCCGCGGCCATGCGACTCGCGCGCGTCTGGCGGGGACAAGAGCGCGCGCGAGAACGAATCAAGGAATGTGAATCAAATCGCTCGGCTGCATGATCGGACCGGCTCTGCAGCAGCTGTGGCATGCGTGGGCTGCCATATGGGGCTGCTGGGTGCGGGCAGCAGCAGCAGCAGATAGATGTGCTGCAGACGCAATCACGCACGAAGATCGAGCCGCACGCACGCACGCGCGCGCGCACGCATTTCTGATTTCTTGACACTCAAAACCTCACAATGCACGACTGCGTGTGAATCTGCTGGAGCGCTACCTACAGCACACCGGTACGGTGTTCAGACCGTGAAATCTTCCGGTCCCCAATGTACACTTTGATGGATCTTGAATTCATGATTGGTCGAGTCGCGAGTCTGAGTTTTGCGGGGTTGGCATTCACATGGATTCGTGATTGGCTGGACAGGAGTGAAGGGAGGGGGCGCATACATGCGCTTTTGTCTTGAGAAGGGCGGGCAGGCAGCGCGAGTTTGATCTTGATCTCCCACCACCACCTCGCATTATCCCCACCTTTGTCATACCCTCTTTCTCTCCATAGCTCCCAACGCAACTGCATCGGCGTGTCACACTCCTTGCTCAAACTCGAACGATTCCAAGCAAAATGGCAGAAGATCAAACAGCCGCAGCAATCAAGGATGAGCAGCTAGCAGAGAAGAAGGGAGCATCATCCGCCATCAAGTCATTCTTGTCTGGCGGGTTTGGAGGCGTATCAGCCGTGTTGGTAGGACATCCTTTTGACCTGACAAAGACGCGTCTTCAGACGGCCGCCGAAGGCACCTACACGGGAGGCTTGGATGTGGTGCGAAAGACGATCAAGGCGGATGGGGTCAAGGGAATGTACAGAGGAATGGGTCCTCCCCTCGTAGGTGTCACGCCCATCTTTGCCATCAGCTTTTTCAGCTACGATTTGGGCAAGAAGATAGTCTATGGACTCACACCCGATAGAAAAGATCCCAAATTGGGTTTGGGAGAATTGGCTTTTGCTGGCTTCTTTAGTGCTGTACCCACCACCCTCGTTGCTGGACCGGCTGAGCGTGTCAAGGTGCTCTTGCAGGTGAGCCGCCAATTCTGCACGGAGATGAACGTATCCTCTGGCCTGATCGCAACGCTAATCAGCCCATCCCACATGTCTACTAAAATGTTTGCCTTTTGCCTTGATTTCAGCTTCAAGGTCAATCGGGATCATCAGGTCCTACTTACAACGGACCCGTAGATGTGGTGCGCCAACTTTACAAGGAAGGAGGTTTGAAGAGCGTCTTTAGAGGCACAGCAGCCACCCTGGCTCGCGATGGACCTGGTTCTGCTGCGTGAGTATTGTGGTGTGCTGATGCATTTTCAGGCCTTCAGAGAGTGCTTGGGCTGCGGGCGAGAGGTGATGCGAGCGCGCAGATAGCTCCGCACTCAAGGTGATGCTCGGATGGGTGGGGTACTGATTGGAAGAGGGAGAAGCAGAGCACCATCTTGGTGGAATTTTGGCGCTTGTAGCAGGGACGGACTGGGCGCATCATCGCTTGGACCCCTTGGTCTGCATGGATGAAAGCGTCAGGGCCTGTGGGGCCTTGAAACGTGCAACTGCTGCATGTTACGCGAAGGCGCAGTGCTCTGCCACCTCCAGCGAGAGCTTCGAAACCAGGAACAAGCCGCTTTCGCCTCCCAGATCCGTGCGCGATTGCTTTTGCCTGTGCAACCTCGTACTGACTGCCTACGCTTCACCTTCATTCTACTTTGCCTACGCGATGGGCGGACAGCTACTTTTGCGCTTATGAGACCATCAAGGCTGGTCTGACGCCTAAGGGCCAGGACCCTAGTCAGCTCAACCTGCTCAATGTTCTCACGGCTGGTGGCTTGGCTGGTATGAGCATGGTGGGTATCTGACTCGGCAGACCAGGGGAATGGAGCTCATAGGAGGGTGCAAAAGCTGGCTGCTGTCTGGACCAATCGTTGTGGAATTTGGCTCGAAAGCTGCAACACGTGGTACACGCTCCGCGAGAACGCGCATGGACGCGAAGAGCAGAGCATTCAAAAAGGGCGCGACGAAGGGCAGGGAGGACGCTTTGCTGCACGGCTAGAGGCCAGAGAACCAAAGCTGACGCAGATCACCTCTCTTTCTCCCTCTCTACCTTGTCTCTCTCTACTGCGCTTGACAGTGGCTCGTCGCGATCCCTCCCGACGTGGTCAAGTCTCGTTACCAAGGAGCGCCTCACGGTACTTACAACAGCTTCATAGATTGCGCGAGACAAACGATCGCAAAGGACGGAGTCAAGGCGCTTTTCAAGGGTGCTGGACCCGCCATGCTGCGCGCTTGTGAGTCAGGTCATTCCTTCTGAGCCCCCTCTCCCACCCCTCGTAGAGCCTCAATTCTTGGTTATTGCGCGGCGCGGGCCAAAGTTGGCAATTTGTACATCGGTGCTGAAAAATCGACCTTTTCTTGCTTCCCTTCCCCATATCCATCTTGCCGCAGTCCCTGCCAACGCCGCCACTTTCGTGAGTCGATCAGAGTCAGACGGCGCAATGGAGCGAAAGGGACGAAAGGCTGATGATATCCTTTGCTCTCGCCTGCACGATGTTCACTCACCCCCCTCCTCCCAGCTCGGCGTCGAAGTTTCTCTCAAAGCCATGAACAACCTCTTCTGATCCGCCGGGGCAAAATCCAATCAGCTCAAGCACACATGTCCTTCCCCAATCGATTGGGCGGCCCATCTTTATGCTTTTCCCGCATACTTGCGAGTTTTGTTTACGGTCATATGCGCTGCTTTTCTCGCAGATGCTTGATGAGGATTCGATGTTCGCTTTCATGTGCGGGCATGAGATGGATTTGGGGGCGCATGGAAAGCGGGCAAGACGAGTCGACTTTCGATCGGGAGTCGATCGTGTGAGGCTCGAATCGTACGACGTTCATCATTTATGACGCACGATGCAAAATAGAGATGGATAGCAAATCTTGAGGGTACCAAATCAAAGTGCGAGGGTCCTGGCTGGCTGCGTTGTCCCTGTCTGAGAAGCCTGTGCAAGATTTGCATTTTTGCCCGTCTCACAATGCTAGGCCCACATCATCGAGATGTGTCATGGGACCAAAGCGAGCAATTGTGTAGCATTTGTGCGGGCATCGCGCGAGGATAAGTACGTGCTGTGCAGCTTTACAAAGTGCTCGTGGAGCGCGAGTCTCGTGCTTGTGCGCTCGCGAGTGCTCCGTCGCCGCATGCCACGCGGGTAGCGCCGCGCGCCTGGCCATGAGTAGGAGCAGCAATAGCTCTGTCATGATCAGCGGCGAGCATTGACGAATCAGAGGAGCTAGCGAGCATCTTTTGAGCCATCGGACGAAGAGGCCTCGCAACTGCTGCCCCCGCGAAAGGCAAATATTCGGGAACTGTGATGTCATAGCTATACAGCAGCATGGTCACATTCAGCATCCAGGCAACACAAGACAACGATGCGGACGGGAGAAATTTAACCAAGAAGAAACTCACCAGGCTGTCCATCCTACTGAGCACATACAGCACGGCCGCAATAGCTTCGAATTGCGCCTCGTTTCCACCTCCACTGATCAGATCATTTCTAACCGCCTTGGCAAGTTCGAACGTGCTCACTCCCAGATTGCCCTCTTCATTGTTCCTGCTGATACTGCCTTCTCCGATGCCCGTCTTCTGTCCCGCGCCCGCTCCAGCAGCCGCATTTGAAGGTCCGCTGCCCACAGCGATGCCAGAACGAGGCGCCATAGGCCACTGGCTGAAATCGGAAAGGATATCGTCCACTTTTTGAAAAGCCGCTTCCCTGGCGTCGTAAGAGAGGTGTGCGAGCGCATTCTCCAAAACATTGGCGCTAAAGGAGCAGCATAAGAGGGACAAGCTCCTAGTAGCTGCAAAGGCGATGTTCTTCCTCTCTTCTCGATACAGTGCGGATGCGTGAAGCGTCGGGGTACTGCTCGTCAAGAGGCTCAACACTCGACGGAGCACCGCATCTTTGGCGCTGCTGTCGGATACAGGATGCGTCGCCATGTCGAACAGTAGAAAGTTCCGCTTCTCGGTGCGCAAGATGCCCTTGTCGACCAATCCTTTGGCTAAGCGTTCCCGCACCTGCTTCAGCTGATAGCCAATCTTCGTCACATTCCACGTCTCGCCTGATCACAGGCCCAAGCCAGCAGCGGCAGCGCAAAGGTGTCCCCATTAGAATGACGTGCCTACTCGAGCAATGGAATACTGTTGCCAGACACTCACCGCTGAGCAGGTCGACCCATTGACTCGCGCTCATCCTCTCGCTACTCTTCATCAGTTTCAACGTTTCATCTAGCAAAACTTCTCCCGTCATTTTGCCATCCACGACCTCGATCAATCTATCTTGCAGAGGCAAAGCGTTGCCTCTGAACCGACCTGAAGATGCTGAGGTGTCTCTCGAGATGCTTATTCGCTTGCGAAGACATAGCTCGATGAGAATGCAGCCACGCAAGGAGTAGGAAATGTTGTCGTTCCAGAAAGACAAGTAGCCCTGCAGTGAAGTATGAAAGGGAGCAGAAGTGTCAGAAGTTGGGAGTAGGTTCAAAGATGTCATTGAAGATGCTACGCTGTAAGCGGTGGTGCAGAGCCCAAGCCGCGCAGCAGGCTAGCGCTTTGGCCCAGCGTGGACCCACTGCGGCTGTCTCGCCAGTCGGACCTTCTCAACCTCTAGCACAACCACACAGTCTTTGGACCCCCGAGCCCGCCGCTTACATTTCAGGAGAATGATATTCCCTTGAAGATGGCGTTCCACACTTACCTGCTTGTCCTTCAATCCGAGCAACAGGCACTCTTCCATCAGCGTCAATCTAGGATTCTCCTTCTCCTCGCCCTCATCCTGCAAATCTCTGGGATCATACGCGATTCTATGTCCGCTCTGACTTGTTGTGGAAATGCTGGCAGCTCCTGCTGCAGTTCGACTTTTTGCCGAGTTGGAGCCCTCGGTGGGATTTGAAGAGGAGAAGGAGGGATTGTCGAGATGAGAACGTCCGTTGCTGTGCTGCACCGAGGGAGTACCGGTTCGGGATGGCAAGGAATCGAAAGAAGCTTTGCGAGAGTGCGAAGGTCCGGCTCTTGAAATATCATCTGATGCTAAGGCGCCTCCTCCTACTCCGCCCCCACCTCGCCTTCGCTGTAGACCCGATGTCGAAGCCATCGTGATAGTATGGCTCAGCAGGGCTCGCTAGCTCTCTTCGCCGGATTGATCTTGGGCAACGTCGCTCGCGCGAAGTGTATAGCAAGGCCCAACAATTTCCCGCAATCGAGATCCGCAAGTTGGCTGCAGAGCTGGTATGGCGGAGGAAGTCGAGCTGGAGCGTGTTGCTCTGTGGAACTGCGTTGTGGTCCCAAAGCTTCTAGTGATCCTCCAGCAAGCAATGACCAGCTCGAGAAAGGACTGTGACTGGCTGACAAGGCTCGTCTCACTGCAACCTCGCTGGCGCTCGCGATGCAGATCGAGCTCGCAATTGCTCTGCGCCAATGCTGTCGGGTGTCCCGCAGTGAGAGGTTTCCGTGTCGCTATTCGCCTTTCGCCTGCTCGCAGACTCCACTTCGTCAAGGATGGCGGATGCCGGATGCCGGATCAGCAAGCAGATGATCGCAGCTAGCGTTCCCGCGACGAGACAGACATGCACGACTCGCGGCTTAGGTGAGCCTGCCTTTAATTGTAAAGTTGGAAGTGACGAACACAGCATGCGGTCCTCTCGTCGAGCTTCTTGACGTTCATGGCGCACAGCATGCGCGCGGTTGCGAGACACGGTCAAGTACAGTCGCGAGTCCCACCTCTGTTCGCCCCGCCGCCAAAGGCGCATGTATATATGCTGTGGGCCTGGCTGGCTGGCTGGCTGGCTGGTGCGCGTTCCGCATGCATGGACGACAAGGCGGGCGCACTGCCTCACAAGCCACGTGGGTAGCGTGCTGTAGCCCGCCCATGCATTCGTGATTGCGATTCACGCTTCAGCACATCGTGTTGCGCCAAACCCAGCATGCACGCATCCACCACATGAGCGGCAGCTGCTACGCGATCACAGGTCGCGAACCGGATCCACCATCATTTCGGCTGTCATCGGTCGGACACACTGTCATTTGATCAAACACGTTGCTGTGAGTCTTCTGTAGAGGCAAGAGTTCAGTGTGATTCCATATCAATCGCTCACCCCGTTTGTCCGCTGAACTTCTCAACCCTGCCATGCGCAATCAGTCAAGATGGCCTTTCGAGCGAGCAAGCTATTATATCAGGCGAGCGGAGCCAGCAGCGGAGTCTCCTCGAGCCTGTCCGCTCAGCCCTTTTCCGCAGCACACAAATCCTACGTTCAAGGACTGTACCGTCGCTACCTCAAGAACGAGCTGGATTGGGTGATTAGACGGGATATCTGGAGAGACAGGGCGATCGAAATTAGAGCAGAGTTTGAGAGGGCTAGACATATCAGGAACCCTAGGGAATTGGCGAGCGTGCTCGAAAAGGCGGAGAAAGACTTGTTGAGCAGAGCTCATCCGGATCCATACAAACGTAAGTGGGGAGGCATTTTCGTGGATCAGGGCAGTTGGTGCCAATGCTAGCCTACGAATTGCGGAAGAGACCTATGGTCGTTATCTTTCAGCGTTGCCGGGTTATCACACGCACGTCGCGAGGTTGCCGTGTCTTGTGCAGCGACTTGCAGGCGCTATGCTCACCCGATAGGCATGTTCTCTGAAAGAGTCCGACCTGATGAGTCATCTTGAGCTGCCCAGCTGACCCCTGTGTGCCTGATCCTACGCATATTACGCTTCTTACAGCTCCCCTGGCCGAAGATGGAACCAAGTGGTGCGTACAAGGCTTGCAGCAAGACCTCCTCAGAGGATGGCCCTCACTGACCTGATAGTCTTCTTCTCCTGTGCACTCTTGACACGCAACAGGGAACGCAATATCCCTGTGGGTGTTTGAACCCGGTCTTTGACTCTGCGTTCCAGTGACATGAAAGACTGATCCGGTCATTTCCCTTTCAACGTACAGCCTCGCATGTTCACCAAGGCCGAAAAGGAAGCTGCTTTGGCGGGCCACTAAAGTATACGTTGCTCACAACGCAGACGTCCTCTTGTAGATTGGGACCGCAACGAGAGCATCATCGTCGTCGTCGTCACCATTTCTCTCGAGACCACCGCTCGTCGACCTACAGATCCTTGCAATCTGGCTCTAGTGATCACTCGGGTCAATGATGTTGGGTAAGCGTGCACGAAGGGCCATGCGACAGCGAATACATGATCATTAGCATCGGTTTGGAACTGATCCCCCCCAAAGGGGATGGGAGATGGAGCTCAGTATTCGCCAGGCAAGAGTGAATTTTCCAGACCTTGCAGCAATAGCTCGCGATTGATGCTTTGCTTGCCCCTTTGCCGGTGAAGTTAAGGTGCGGGCGCAAATTATCCTTGAAAGATCTCGAGACTGCAACGGACGGAAAAGGCGCTACGTGGCGGTGCCGCAGGCGTCGTATTGCCCTCGGGATCTAGATCGCCACTCGGGTCAACAATCGGTGACGAGTGGCGTCTACTTGCAGAGCTTCAGCGGTGCAGGCAGGTAGGTGCAATTCGCGACGAAGGGGAAGATGAAGTTTTGCCATAGGTGCCATAGGATGCTGCGCTCCTGAGCTACGGTGGCGATTGTGATTCTGCCTCGGAGGTGGAGCTCAGGCACACTGCAGAACGGCGTCGATGAGCTCCTGCCACCCGTGACCTATCGCTAATTCGCAGCCTCGTCTTGAACCATCTGGCTCATCCCTTTTCGAGTTGGTGCTGCGACTATCCAGAATCGGTGCCGACTACAGTTGCGCGCGCATCTATACGGTCAGACGCGCGCGACGCGACACGACGCGACTCGACGCTGCACTGACGCTTTTTGCTCCCTTCTTATCTCCCAACAGCTTCGTCGCCACCGCAAGACTTTTCTGGACGCGCGAAAACGCCACTGGGCTGGATCCGCTTTGATTGGCCTTACGTGCCTTTGCCCTCTAGGTGTGGCGAACGCCTCTTTAAATGCAGTCGTGGGTGGCTGTAAGCGGCCTAGCTGTGCTCCATTCTCATGGTGCGGAGGTAAGCAAGTGCACTTAAGGCTGTACGACTCGCGGACTATGCTCGCTTCTTCCTTCCCATCCTCCATGTCGTTGTTCGCCTCGCTGCTGGCCAGCACGGGCCCATTTCAATTCGCAACACGTCCCAAAGCTTTGGTCGAGATCATCACAAATCGGCCCGGACTCGCTAGACCTGCAACTCGGCGCCCCGATCTAGGTATAGCTGACGATGCAGCTAGTACCTGTCCTACTTGGCGCAACGACGCTCTGCACTAGCATTGCTGCGGCCCCACGATCATACCTGGGCCTTTCACAGCGTCAACTCGATGCCAGAGAGACATTTCCGAACGTGAGTCACGATTCTCAACCTTCGAAGACTTTCAGCAGCTCAGAGAGCTCCATTCCTTCTTTAGGATGCAATTCGCCAGAATAATGCGAAAATCGTCCACTCGAGCTATACGGAGCTCAGACCAGCGATAATCAAAAGAGGCTCGCCGGAGCAGCATCTTTTCGTCGATATTCCAGAGTATCTGCAAGAGCACGTCATGGAGCACATGCTGCCTCAGGCCCGCCATTCCCCACGCAATGCTTCCTCCTCTCCCGGCTCAGGCAAGTTACATCCACAATCTGGCGATGGAGACCTTCATCACGCATCCGCCTCGCCACGCTTCTCTCCAGGCTCTTCGACTTCTCCCCACTCGACGTTCGAGACGAAGCACACTCCGCTCCATACGCCGGCTGTCTCGCCGACAAGCTCTTCAGATTCCGGTCCTCTGCTCATCGACAATCATTCCTACGCACATCAAGCGCTTTGGGAAGATGTGACTTTTCCACAAGCCAGAAACTCTGGCCTCGCACACGGAAAGCCGAACCCCTGGCCTGACGCCCCCTCAACTAGAAGCAGCAGCGCTAATACAGCCACCTCTGCCCCTTCACACTCCAGCATGCGGAGTGCGGTGCTTGGTCATGGTCACGCGTCGGACGGCGATGAGGTGACGCGCCTACTAGATGACCATTCGCATGCCCAGGCCCCTTACGCGCATGATTTTGCGAGCATACACTCACCCAAATCACCAAACTCAAATCATTCATCCGGAGACGCGGTGCACAACACAAAACCAAGCGAGGAGAAACATTCATCTGGCGCACATCAGTCGAATGGCAAAAGCTTTGTCGAGGCACAGCATGGAGGGGCCGTGCATGACCCAAGTCCTCAGCCAGATCGATACCAGACGCAGCACACATCGCCTCCTCAAGAGATGTCCTCTTACTCTGCAAGCCCGGCGATTGCAGAAGACCCACCCAGAGCAGAGCACAAACATGCTGCAGCATCCACACGCGATAATCAGATCGAGGTGCCAAATCAGAATGGCACAAAGACCGTGAAGGTCCAAGCTGGTTCGCCCATCCGCTCCGTCCCTTTGAGACTCAAAGGTAGGAACGCATTCGTCAGGACATCGCAGCCGCGTGACTTTCAAAGTAAGCAGCCATCGGCTCCGTATGACCACAAGGCACCGTATCACCTCGAAGCAAAGCTGCCACCGCCTTATCGTGATACGTCCACTTACGTATCAGCTTCTGTATCATCTGGGCAAAAGGCACACAAGGTGCCGGATGAGCCAGTTCGAATCCTGTGGACGAATCAGAGAATGCCCAAGGATACATCGCCCTACGTAGCAGCCTTGCAACATCATCGGAAGTATTTCAAACCCAACATGGCCACATTTGATGTGAGTTGCTCTGGACCGTGTGTATATACCCACGCGTGCACTCGAATTCCTGAAAATTGTCCCCGCTCTGTTTTCAGGTCATTCAAAAATTCACCCGCACAGATTCGGAGCCGACGCTGCATGCTGTAGGATTAGCGTATGAAAAGAACAACAAGCCCATTCACGGCGGAGGCGTGACTTCCATAGGGCACCATTATGACGAGACTCGCGTGTACATGGCACCGCAGACCAAGTTACACTTGCCACGTGGAGGCGAGCTTCACTGGGAAGATCCCGATCCATCGGCGCTTGTACGCCCATCTGTCGCAGACTCCGAGCGCACAAAGAAGAAAAGCCGGGGACAAAGCTCGACAATGGGTGCGGACTCAGAGCAAGGTCCAAGTAAGAAGCATGCCTCTGGCGCCGACAATGACCGGCTACATCGAAGGGGTGCCCTTCTGTCCAGGCGCGACACACCGACTGCTGAACGGGTACGTACGAAGCTGGACGAGTCTCGTGGACGTCGTCAAGCTCGAGAAACGAAGTCCATGTGCTGAGCTACGAAGTCCATGTGCTGAGCTACGAGCGCGTCTATGTATTTCAGAAACTGATAAGAAGGGCGGACGAACATTCTTCTGATTCGACGAAAAGCGATCCAGCCATTGATGAGGCAAAGAAATGGAAGTTCAAGCCACGCAAGTATTTCAAGCCACAAACGAAAGATGAAGCTGCCGACAAAACGACCAAGCCGCTCGCAAATTACATGATACATGCTAAAGATGCTGATACCAGTAGAACGGAGTCTGACGGGTCGCAGGAGCAAGATCCAAGCACGACTAAGAGGACCAAGCAAATGTCTGCTGTGTTGGCTTCCTCGGAAACAGGTTCAGCCCCCTCAAAAGCCGGGGCAAGTCGTCGATTACCCCGAAAGCCAAAGGATTTCTACAGGAAGTATCCAGAATATGCCATGAATAGAGGCATTCGAGGGTGGACCGTCGAGAAACCTAGTCCGGTGCCGCCCAGAGATCACCTCCAGCCCGCTTCCAAATTGCGGACGCCTACTGAGCCAGAGGATAGACCCTCTGTGTCTGTAAGCTGGCATGGTCACAAGGGGCGACCGAGTGGTGATGTGACTCTTGCTGCGATGAAAGAAAGCGTGGAGCATTATGCTGCGCATTACCACCCCACTATGAAACGTTTTACAGTGAGTGCAGAGAAATGGGGAGGCAAGGAGTACAGCGTCATACACGACACAAGCTGACCACGGGGACCGTGAGCAGGTGAAAGGTCAATTCGGGAGGAGCAACACCGAACCTGCGCTGCACATCACGGGTACTGCGCGGGACGACCACGGGCGTGCTCTTCCTGGAGGGGGCATTACTGGGATTGGAGTGCCTTATTCGCACCACAAAGTGAGCATGCTCTGCACGTGGCCAAATGACGAAAACTGCTCTCATTCTCGAGATGTCCCCGCCAGGTCTACATGAAGCCAGACATTTTCCTTCCGAATCCACGGCCAATGCTCAAAGGCCAAGTCATCGCGCCCGAAGAGCCACGCAGCAGAGCCATGATCATGTCTACTCAAGGTATGCGTGCAGCGACCAAAAAAGCCTGGCAGTACAGTATAAGACAGCACGCCCAAGAAGAGAAGCCGCAGCAGGCAGATCTCGGCGCGCCCAAGGAAAAAAGAGGCCCGGGCAGCTCTCGAAGGTCGTCCAGGGCACCTGCACAAGCAGCGCCTGCTTCTTCCTCACTCAATCAAGATGCTAGGACAGAGCACAAAGCATCGTCCGCCTCAGAAGAGCATGCGATCAAATCTGCGCCAGTCACACGACCGTCGCCCATTCAAGTCCCAGACTCGCCAAACCGCACACCTGTCCGAAGCCCCTCCTTGAGCCCAACATTCGCCACTCTGAGTCCGCTGCGCGAAGGAAGTCTCCGGAGCGGCTCTAAGCGCACCTTTTCCACCTTTGAGCAGATGCACGATGACTCGCCATTGGTGACCGACCATCGCGCTCTTCATCACAGCTCTCCGCTCCATTCCGACTTGACGTCCCTGCACGGCAGCTCACCGGACACGCTGCATCTGGGACCACTCACACCTCCTCGACTTTCGAGCCCAGACCACACCAACTTCAAATGGGTGTTTCATCATCTATGAGATGACGCGCACAGAAACATCCACTTTCGTGTGCCTTGAAGCTCTCGGAGCATTCTTTGAACATTCAATACATCAGCACGTCAGCAAAAATGATCGATTCTACTATGAGCGTCGAATTATACACAGAAATGACAGACTCTTTGTGTGGAGTCTACCGGCATGCCAGCACTTCGCAGGGCTATCGTGGTGCTATCATGCTGCGCTCTGGATCTCTTTCTAATCGGTGCCCGCCATCTTCTTGTCCAACAGGTCGGTCAACTCTGCGCCGATTCTTCGAAATTTGCACGGCCATGCACATGCTTGCGTTCGAGTTCAGAAGTCTTCGGATTCTGAATCTTCAGCCTCACTATCCGTCCAGAATGACGAGTCAGAGACATCGCCATAGCTGGCGTCAGCAGCACCTCCTCGTACACGTTGAGCGCCGTCGTCAACGAGAGTCGTTCCTTCGCTGGCGTCAGTAGCACCTCCTCGTACACGTTGAGCGCCGTTGTCAACGAGGGTCGTTCCTTGGCTTGCTTCCACATCCAGTAGACTATGATGATCAAATCCCAGCAGGCCTTTGGAACTGAGTAGAAAAGCTCCACAAGCGTCCAATTGGATGTCGCTCACCTCAGACGCCGCGGTTTGCATCAGCAAGCGAGAGCCGACGTTGCCGAATGGGTGCTTTCGAGCGGTCTCGGACAAGCGTTGCAGGTCGAGATCGATGATGAAAACGGAGTGGAGCTTTGTGTGCTTGAACGCTACGCAAAGACGCCCATCCGAGCTGGCAGCCGGGAGATCTTCTCCTATGTTCACCTCGTGTGCCCTAAAGAACTCGTCCTGCCCATATACAGGCCTGTGACTGGACATCTGGAGGGGCAGAATGCCAAGATGCAATTTGCGATGTTGTTCACGTCTTGCAATGGCTGAGCAAGGGCGGACGAGAAGCGCATGTCCCTGGCAGAGCAAGACTAAAGTGTCGCTACGTGATTCAATGTAAACCTTGCGCGCACCCCTAAGATAATTCGCGTACTTTTGTAGCACCAGCCAAGAGTGAGCAGTCGGAAAAGGTACGCGGAGATCGTCACTGCTCAGATTCACTTACGACAAACGCGGTAATGTACTCGACACCGTTCCTGGAGTGAAGCATCAAAACTGAACAGCTGGCCTATTTTTTGGAGCTTTGGGCACTCACATGTCATCATAACTCCCGGTTTCAGAGCAAAGTGACTTCACCGTGCGCCAAGTCGCGGCTGTTGTCGGGCCCGTATCCACCGAGCATGACTCAGCTCTGTTTGTCGAGGAAGCTACATGGACTTTGTTAGGTTTGAACGTCGTTCCTCGCCGACGCATGCGAGCCGGCCTGCCAGTTCGCCGGGATAGATTTGGATTTGGCATCATGTTGAGTAGAACGCTGCCATCCGCGATGGAGTATGTGACCAAGCCTGCAGTGTGTACCGCGGCGACCATCGTGCGCTCGTCATTCACAGCTAGGTCCCAGCAGGGTCCTAGAGCTTTGATAGTGATGCACAGACTCTTCGTCGGCACGTCAAAAAGGTGAATGCTGTGAATTAGACTTCCCTCGTGCTCCGAAGATGTGGACACCAGGCAAGACGGGAAGCGCAGATGCAGGTGCGTGATCACGAAGGCTTTTGCTCGACATATTTCGGGGAGTGGCAAGACGCTTTCGAAATGACACGCCGTTTTCGTGATGGTGAATAGCATGACATCATGCTTCCCCGAGCTGGCTACTGCAAAGCCCGCGTCTATGACGAGGCCTGAAAGCCTGTTGTCGGCTGCCTCATCACTTGCTCGTAGCTTCAATGTGCTAGAAAGAATCAGGTCGTCCTGAGTCGCAACGTCCTCCTTGTGTCGCTGTTTGAACATTTGTAGAGTTCGGTGGTCTGTTGCCAAGACAAAGAGCCCTTCAGTCGACTGCAAGAAAAATGCATGACGCGAAGACCTGCGTGCTGGAATGTCAAGGTGGCCAAAACGTGATTGACTTTCGAGCGCGTCGTCTGATCCACTCCTAACGACCGACGGACCACTAGCAGACTTCCACGCTAGTGTTAGACGTAGATAGCGATCACACAAGTCCCTGAAAGATGTGATGTCGTTGGAATACCCGGTGACGCTGAGCACTGCCTCGCATGCACGTTCGTTAGGGTAAGAAGGGACAGATCTGCCTCCTGCTCTCTGCGAACCTGGGAGCGGGGAAGCCCAACGCGGTATGAGCCGCCACTGAAGAGCCAGTGAGCGCCAGACCGTTTCGCATTCGTTGATGCGCTTTAACCAGTGTTGAGATACTCGACGGCTGATGAACCAGGTCTTAGGGTCTAGCTGGATAAGCACCATGACTAGAAGCTCCGCGGGAAGGTGTCTGAGCGGGTCTGTAGACATGGCGACCAATTTGGCCGATGGCCCCACATGAAGGTTATGTTAAACAGTCTCGAAGAGCTTGCGAGGCCGTGTGATCGACACGGTCTGGGGCTGAGTGGTCGAGAATGGTATGTGTGTTGAAGACACAGCGCTTCAACTCGATAGAGTGGATGCGAGGATGCAGAAGGCACTCGTGGAGCAGCAGGCAAAAGAGATTTCCTTTTGAATCATAGACAGTCGCGGGCTCGATCGTTATGGCGCTTGTGTACTCGTGATTGAAGCAGTCTCCTGAGAAGCTGACCGATCTTGGATTGGATCAATCTCGCAGAATGCAGGGATGACATTGTCGTTTCTGTTACGCGTGAAATATGTCTCTGCTCTAATCAAGAGTGACGATGCTGTCTCGTGCGACCTTTGGCGGCAGCATTTGAGACTCGACATGACTCACGATGGAGGTGAGGCTTCTTGGTTGGATCACTTGGCATGCATCGTGAAAGCCACTAGCACACGTTGATTGGTGACGGCTTGATTGGAAGGTAGACATAAACAGCTATTCCATCGGCCATGATGAGGCTTGAGCAGTCCAATCTACTTTGCGACTCTTAGATCGGCGCGCAATCAGGACCAGGGTAGCTCATCCAATCAGGCTGCGGAAGTGATTGATCAGTGCCTCGCAGATACCCTTTATCGCCTCCACAAGTGAAATTGGCTTGCCTATGCGGCCGCAGGCGTATCACATTTTTTTCTAGTCAAGGGCAGCCCCATTCTGGCCGTTCTGTTGCGTCTAATTCCAAATGATTTGGGGTGGACGTCAGGAAATCATTGGTGGAGAGCCGAGAGCTCTCTTCGATTTGGACCAAGTCTGATGTCCACTAATCTTCGAGCGGCCCAAGTAAGAATGGCTAAGCGTGTGTCTCGTGTATTTCTGACTTGCAGCTTTCTGTTTTTGGTCCCGGTTGCCTTCTTGAGGATTCTTCTGTGGCAAGGTTTACGATCTGTAATCATTTTCGAGGCATTCCAACGCTTCTGGGCTCGCCAGTCGCCGATGCTCAAACTCAGAGACCTTAGTGCTTATCGCTGTTGTTCAAGGCATTCTCGACCCCCTTACCGTTGTCGGCATTCTGCGCGGCTTGCCGATCTTTGTCAGCAGCTGCTAGGTGGAGGCCGAGGTCGAAGCCCAGTAAGCCCTCTCCGGAACGACAGAGATAGACCCCGATTGCGTCCATCTGAAGATCGCAAAACTCTTTGCGTTTTTCAGGCATTTGACCCAACAAGCGGGAACCGATGTTGCCGAGGGGGTGTATTGGGTGCTCGCCGGACAGCCGGTGAACCCTGAGGTCGATCAAGAAGATGTTATCGAACTCTCCACTCTCCTCATACCAGACTCTTGTATTACTCCCCCGATACTTGGATTTCTCGAACACCAAGCAGAGGCGACCATCCGCTCCAGCAGCAAGATGCTTCATTCCGGACTGCACAGGAATGCCTGTGTAGCAGTCGTCCGAAGCTTGAGGTTCACCGAAGGTCCGCGTCTGGAGAGGTATGATGCCAAGATGCACCGTCTTCTGCCAATCGCGATTGACGAGCATTGAGCAGGGACGAATGACCATCGCGTGACCAAAGCAATGAAGCACGAGTGTGTCTGTGTGTGAGTCCAAGAAGACACCACGCATGCTGAGCAAAAGGTCGTAGTACTTTTCGAAATCACATTGATGGTCAGTTGTCTGGTTGCTCACCAGGATTGAAATTGAAGCAACTTACAACGTAGCAGTTGATGTAAATTTGGACACCGCTGCATTTGTTTACGTTCTCAGTGATGAAGATCGCGCCTTTTGAAGACCAGTCGCGCATACACCCATCTTATCTACTCACATCTTTGCGTAACTCCCCTCACCCGCGCACAAGAGCTCAATTGTCTTCCACTCCGAAGCTGTTGTTGAAGCCTCACCGACCACTGAGCAGGAGCAGGACTTATTACTTGATAGGGACACGTGAATGTTTTGAGGTCTAAAGATCGGCCCTTTACCCGGCATGCTCGGGTCATCATCACTGTGATCTGGGCCAAACAGATCCGGCATCATGTTCAAGAGAACTTTGCCGTTCACAGCAGAAAAAACGACAAGCCCTGGTGGCCGATGGGCGGCGATGATCATGGTCCTCTTGTCGTCGACCGTGACATCCAGACAATACGCCAGTACGGTTATCGTAGTGCATAAAGTGTTGCTGGGCACATCGAAGAGATGCACTTGGTATTCCTCGTCGTCGCACGTGAGCACCAGACAAGATGGGTAGCGAAGCCGAATGTCGTACACATGGGAAGGTTCACAGTCCTCCGGCAAAGGCAACATGCACTTCTCTTGGTGTGTCGGCCACAGATCCTTGTATACTAAAATTCCTTCATCGGGATGACAGGCGATCACCAACCCCGGATCCATCCTTAGATGTTTCAGGTTCCGCTTGCCATATTCTGTCAAGGTACTGTGCAGCGAGAGGTCGTCTTGAAATGCGAACTCCTTAGTCGCGCGCCGTTGGAACATCTGCAGGTATTTGCCATCCGAGCACAACGCAAACATGCCGCTGGCTGGTCGCAGATACAACCTCTCCGGCACATAATCGGCATCGGGAACGTATCCAAAGCTTGATGTCAGATGCGCAGGAGATGTCCCGGTCAGATTTGGAGGCGACTCCCAAGCCAGCGTTAGCCGTGCATAGCGCTCGCAAAGATCCCGGAAAGAAGCTAAGTTGTTAAAATACCCTGTTGTACTTTGCGTCCCTTCGGACCAATGCACATTTAGCGAGTAGAGCGGTGCCGTTCGAGTCTCATGCATAGACCGGGCACTGGGAAGGGGTGAACGTAAGTGCGGTATGAGGTGCCATCGAAGGGCTACTGTGCGCCACACATCCTGGCACCCATTGATATGATCGTTCCACCGGCGAGACACTCGACGACTACGAAGGAGAGTCTTGGTGTCCAGCTGGGTGAGGATCAAACTCTGGAGCTCGCTCGGAAGCACGCTGAGTGGATTGAGAGGCATTGCGGTGGCCACTGCCGCTGGCGTGTTTCCCGAAGATGAGAAGTCGACCTTGTGTGCTGTATGCTCTCGGAGATCTGTGCATCCGAATCATGGACTCGTCGTGCAGCTGGCTGGGCCTAAGTCGACCTTGTATGCTGCATGCTCTCAGGGGCCTGTGCATCCGAATCATAGACTCGTCGTGCAGCTGGCTGGGCCTGTGCACAAAGCGTTACACGGCAAAGGGAGACGGCTGTGAGCAGAAATCGATGGTCGCGGAGGAGAAGTGCAAGTTGAAAAAGGCAAAGTAGGGAAGGGCAAAGTAGAGAAGGGCACACTGATTGTACTCACGGCTCCATCACAGGGTGCGAAAGTCAAAGCCATGCAGCATAATCACGTTTTGGGTTGCTCTTGCCGGGATCCGTTCTTGTATTCGAGATTGTCGAGCACAAGCTAGATCGAGCGTTAGATACTCGAAGACAGCTGCGGTCCGCAAAATCGCAAAACAGCTTGGTTGCGACAAGACGAGAGCCGCATTGAAGATGTGTTTCGCCGGCCAAGCAAGGCCGTTCTGACGTTCTCTCTGTCCTGGCCTCAATACGATGCGAGAGAACTTGATTAATACACGGAACGCTATATTGAAAGACCTCTGTATGCTGGGTGAATCAAAGCGCCAGGTTCCGCGCTCAGTCGGCTCGTCCTCTGATGAGCCAATCAGCATTAGCTTTGCCCATGCGCGAGTCACAGAGTGCGCCCGACCCCCCGCCCTTACGTTCTAGCGAACGCATATATATGGCTATACGTGACAAGCTTCATCAAGGGCAAATTTCCTAATTGATCATGGTGTGCGCAGTCAAAGATTGCCCGCGTAGCACCTGTCCGTGTCACATCCTGTGTGATATCTTGCTCGCTGACATCCTTGATGCTGAGTACCGAGAGAGCCGGAGCGGCGGAGAGGATGATCAGCGTAACGAACAGGACCACTCAGACTCAACGAAGTCAGATTTTGATTCGTGACGCGAAGTGGCCGTCTGCGCCAGCTTCACGTGACGCGAAGCGACCAAAGCGCGCTCGCGATGCCGCGCGGCCGCTTGTAGACGGAGATGACTCTTTGGCTCCATGGAGTTCACGGCACAGTTGGCCGCATACACCAGCCGTGAGCGCAAGCCAAGCAGCTACGCAAACTTACATCTTGATCTTGTCTCGTCTCTCAAGTGGCTGTCAAAGGGGGAAGGGGGCAAGGATCGATGACGGAGCGTCTATCTCGGAGCAGAAATCACACATACTGCAAGCGCCTACGAGCAAGGTCTGAAGAGCGGCGGAGCTCACCCAAGTGCGACCCAAGCATACTCTAAATGTAAAAGTTGCGTGTGAGACGGGATTAAAGGTAACAGACATGGAACGCTTTCGAGACTACATGATTAGAAGGGGGTCGAATCGTGCTGATACTTGTGTGATGGAGCTCGAGTGTGCTTGCGAGCACGAAGCACAACCTCGACGCGGCTGTATTGTGCAGATCTCGCGCCCGGTGATTGCGAAGCTGTTCGTAAGATGCTACCTTCTTCGCCCAAGGTACCCGAAAACGCGTAGGTTGTGCTTGCAGGAGGTATGTTCAGGTGACGAGCCAGGGGACAGATACCTGGAAACGATGGCGTTGTGGAAATAGGGAGGGCGCGCTCTCGACGCTCAGATGCGTCCCGCTTCGCGCCAAGGCGAATCGAAGCTGCTCCTTGCAGCTGCATGCGGACGTAGCTGGTCCTCCTTGGCAGCCTTCATACTCGCAGCTATCCCAAAGTCGACAAAATGCAGGCCGGCCGATTTGCGTGTTGTGTAGATCGTCGTCGCATCGATGGCCATGTCCTGCAAGTCATCGACGATCCCTTCGTCAGTAGAGACGCTCTGTTCGAGATGCCACATTTTCACATCTTCAAACGGATGTTCCGATGGGCGCCAAGTGGGGTCCAAACGATGCCAGTTTAAGTCGGTGATCAGAAAGTCCATGACTTTGGCATGCCGCTCGCCAGGCGCGCGAGGTCGCCTCAGATCAACGTGCGGATGCCTGATCAAGGCCTGAAGAACCCGGCCGTCCGAAACGCTGATCGAGTCAAACGTCACATGAGGGCTCACAGAGTATGAAGTCCATTCGGCGGGAAGATGGTAGTGGAGTAGAGCCACGTGCATGGGCGGAGGTGCACCCTGGTCGCTTAGACTTGCGAGGGGCCGGAGGAGCATAAGGCCCCACACGTATGCTGCTACCATTGTGTCGGCTCGATGATCCACGCGCACCGAGCATGGCTTCCAGGCGGCTGACTCAGACCTTGCGCTGAGAGGATACTAGAGCCAAAAGGAACAGATGTCCTCGAAGGTCTAAGATCGGTCTTTTGTAAGTCTGGAGACAGAGTAGTGCTCCTGCCTCTCTCTCTCTCTCTCTCTCTCTCTCTCTCTGCCCCTTTGTCTCTCTCTCTTCTTGGTGTGGCAATTGGTCGCGGCGCGCGCGCGCCCTATCTCCCTTTTGTTATCTCCCCTTTGTTATACGCGTTACCTTCTCTGCTTCAATCCATGACATTCGCTTATTGTTCTTTGCCTGGCAATCAGCAGCATAGGTCTCTTCCTGAACATGCGGTCTGAGAGATCACGCTATTCCCAAGTGTTGATGATTGCATGTACACATCCCTTGGTATCATGATTTGCGCTTTTGGGGTAGTACAGTGAGGTCGACTGTTGACTCTTGGCCCCATGCAGATCAAGCAGTGTGTACCATGATTGCAACCTACACCCCCCAGCTCACCATAAGATGTACAGCTGCGCAACGTCCAGTCCGTAGCCCATGCAGATCAAGCAGTGTACCATGATTGCAGCTTACACTTCCCTCGTTCCTCGAGATGTAGCTTGCAACCACCGGAAGCTCACAATGCAATGTATGGCTGCGCAACGCTGAGAAGCTGAGACGGCCCTCGTTGAAGGGGGTCATAGCGCTTGCTTTGGCATTTGTCAATTGCACACATGTGATGACTTGTTGCAAATTCAGCACAGCCTATCTACATGTGAGACAACACAACGCAGCCCAGGCTCGAGACGAATTGCTGGAGATTAGCGTGCACAACAAGGACTCACACTCGTGAGATACGGTCGCTTGGTGCCAATTATCTTCGACGGTGACTCGATAATCAAATCACATCCACAGTTTGCTTTGCATATGTTCACTCAGAATGCGTTCAGTTCTGACTCAATTGCTGCTAAGGTTTCCTTTTGTGTAGACTCGTCACGCTCGCACGTATACAGCATCAAGTCGATGCACGCGGGCTGAAGGTCTCAGACAGACCTGAGACAGGGTTCTGCTTGATCACGCGATTCACATCAGAACGCGCGCCAGGCGACTGATCGTGTGATGAGCTCCGCTTGTGGCCTGCCTATTTGTCTTTTCTTCCTTTTCTTCTTCTCCGCGGTCTCCTTTCATCTGCGTTGCTTTGGCCTGCCAGAGAGGGCTATAAAAGCCTCTTCCGCAATTGGCCGTTTCAAGAAGCGCACCACTTCCACGTTGACGAGGCGCCCAGGCGTAGGCCAGAACCTGCTGGCATACCAGCCGTTGACCACCCACTCATGCCCTGAATTGTCAGCATGCGCACTCAATTCCTTCCAGCAGAGCTTTTTTTCATCATCTTCGAACAGCTGGACTTGGCAACCGTACTGCAGAGCCGAGGAGTGAACAGAGAATGGAGATCGACCATCGATGCTCACTGCCTCACCTGGAAAAGGTACGCGGTACACCTGCGATTAATAGACAAGATAGGATCAGACTTGCCCTATGAGCATGGGTACAAAGCGTTCGACGAACACGTAACCAGGAACGTCAGCGAAGCTTCAACAAGCCTTGCGGGATTCTTTGGGGACTGCACCTCCTTTCGTCAGCTTTGCGCTCTCTATATTGCGCTGACACAATCCTGGACGACAGACTATCAGGAAAGGCGCCTTGATGCTCGTGCCCAAGTATGGTCGAGGGGGACTTTTTACAAGATCGAGGGGAGTGTGGAATGGCCCCGAGGCGATGAGTCTCGATCACCGTACCGAGCCCAGTTGTCTTGAAGTCCCGTTCTGGCTCGGACACAGTAGCGACACCTATCAGCGCATGCTCGTTCATGCAGACCTCATCAGTGGCAGACGCTTCGAGCGTGCCGTACGGGTGGAGCTTGAACCTACCCCTTCCGATCCCGATCAGTCTGCAACACACGAGCACAAGGGCCGAAGCTGCTTGTGGAAGCTCGTAAACGTGCTCTCGGAGAAGTCATTCTGCTGTTTGCCCTGTTTACTTGGATTGCGGAGCATGGTTCAGAGTTTTCAAAGCGTCGAGCGGCCCGAGACCTCGGTCTACCAATACAGAGCCCGAAATCCGGGGACCTTGGAATACAGAAACGGTGACTATAATGTAAACCACTCTTGGGAGGGCGGACGGACAGAATTCAGTCTTGGGCGTGGCAGTTCCTTCGAAGGACTTCGGTCGTTGGACTCAGCAGATATAAATGCCTTTGATCGGCTCTACTTCCTGGCCTGGCCTAGCGAGCTGAGAATTTTTCTGCGCTCGGAAGACGTCAGTGACGACGTGTATGTTACTTTTGACGGCTTTCTATCGCCGGATTATCACTTGGTCCTCCCGTCTGCACAACCTTTCTACCCAAGTCCACCTGGACCCGACCTGAGCTGTGCATTTCAGTGTTGCTCTGTGGCCGGCATCTCTCATGGTCGAGCTTGTGTCAACGCACCCACCGTCGTGACTTGGAGCCCGAGACCAAGCACTCCAATATCCACGTGAGTCCGACTTCCACATGAAGCGCGTCAGACTGCTAATAGCTCTTCGAATGGTCTTGATCTAGCGAGCTTCTTCCGGCGTCGGTCGATACCATCCTTGTCTGTAAGCAGCTGCCAGCGACTAGTCGTCAGTCTTCGACTGAGCAGAGCGCTCCACTTCCCTCGCAGAAAGAAGACTCCACCAAGTTTGGCAAGATCGAGAGCGTGGCAGCGGATATACGTACGAAGACTCTCGTTCTCGCTTTTGACTGGGGTCTCCTGCTATTTCGCCCATTCGATGCCCTGATCGAGTTGGAGAGCAAAGTCTCCGTAGGCGTCGTGGTTCACTTCAAGGGAGAGAAGAAGAAGGGCTATCAAAGCAAGTGCAGGGGACTTGCGGTCTACGATGGCCGCATCTGCCACAGCATTGAACACCGCGACGACGATAGTCCCGGGTGCCGTATGGTCAAGAATACCATCTTCGTCATCGACCTGGATCCTTCCCGTCTAAATCCTACACTCGATCCTACCGAGTTGCCGATCGACTCTTGCCAAATCCGAATGCTTCGAGAAGAAGAGGTCTACCCTGTAGTCTTGGAGCATACCTTTGAATTTGTGGGCACAGACATCGAGATGGACGCGACAGGCATTTACATGAGAGAGCCCACTCACCTCAACTACATCGATTTTGGACTTGCGGTGGACCATCCCGACACAATGTAGACAGACCCACCTGTCGCACTCGACCGGCAGTCTTTCCCGGACCAACCTGCTTCTTGACTGGGGCTCAAGCAGCGCGGGTGTGGATAGCACACCACCAATTGTCACTCGACGCTTGTTTGCTGCCAGACTCTTGACCGCACGCGCAGGTCCTCGAGCTACGTAGCAGAGCGCCCCATCCATCTCTCCGACCGACACAGAGACGAAGCCCTAGCACAGCGAACCACGAGCTGATCCGGCGCTGAAAAGAATGACATTCCGCTCGCGACCGGCTTTGGTGAGCTTGTAAATCTCTACCGTGGAAGTCACGCGTGGCTCGAAAGAGGCGGACTGAGAGGAGATTCTGACTCGAAATTGTGACGAGTGCGGCCATCTGTTAGGCTTGCTGTAAGCGCGTAAGAAGTGGCTGGCGGCAAGCAGGTATGATGTGACTTGGTGGTGGCACATACGAGCGGAATCTTTCACCCTGCACATCAACAAGGAAAACTTGCGGTGTTGAAGATGTCGCAGTCTTAAATTTCCGAGTGGCAGAATGTAGTCGGAGATGCGTACGTGGAACATTCGGACATCGGCGCATATTTTGCCGTACCCATACGCGGCCCCCAGCAGTTTCACGGCACCCTGTGCAGTACCAATGTTTCGCTGCGCATAAAGGAGCCATTGCCAAGCCAAGTTCAAGCTTTGAATTACAACATGCTTTTTTGGTGCGACGCGATCACGCTTCAGATTGCATCAGAGCATCTCGTCATTGACGGATCGCGATGTCAGAAGGGCAAAACAGGTGACTGAGGCGGGTGCGTGCTCAGTTGCCATTGACAGCGCTGCCTCCAGCAGCTGCATCAGCAGCGCTCGCAGCCGCCGCCAAAGTATCGACGAGCAAAGCTCTCCAGTATCGTTCCACAAACGCAGCAGCATCGTCATCCAGCACCTGCAGGGGGGGGAGGGGGGGGGGGGGGGGAGATCGATCCCCAAATCAGCAACTGCACCAAGTCGATCTTCCGCAGGATCGGGCGCTCGAACGTCACTCACAGGCTCCAGCGTCTCTACGATCTTTGTCGGTTTTGCTCTTTCCCTCGTAGCGCTGACCACAGCATCTTCCAGTTCCTCGACCTGCTCTCCCACATACTCCACCATGAGTCTCTCGACGAGCGGTCTAAAGCGGCTCTTGATGACTTCCTCGTCCACCCAGTCCCAGTTGGGAGCGGTAGCCAAGATGACCTCGCTAGATTGACTGGCAAGCTCCGCCTCTAATCGTAGCGCATGCTTCGCTCTCAGCGCTTCCTTCTCCGAATCAGAGAGCGTGCTGCCCAATTCGATCTTGCGCAATCTGCGTCGGCCCAGATCTTCCTCTTCCGCTTCGCCCAACACCGGCTTGAGTCCGCTAGACGCATTCGCCACAGCATGCGCCGCGTGCTCATCTTCCGCTTCCTTGGATGTGCCGCCAGCTGCGTTGGCCTGCACTTTGAGTCGGAGAGGCGCATGAGATCCGTCGCCAGAGGGCACGAGAACACCAGCAGCTCTAGCGGCTTCCAGCGCTGCAGCTTCGTCCGCAGCCGCCTTTTCGGCCGCCAACCTATCTGCTTCGACCTTGGCTGCCGCCTCTGCCGCCTCAGCTGCCTCTTCAGCTGCATCCGCCGCCTCCTCGCGTGATCGTGCAGCCGATCTGTGAGACCTCCATCGCAAGCTGTGCATCGTCGAGCAAGACCAGCGTCAGCTATGCGACCTCGAGTCGATACATCACGACATCAGTGCTAAACTTACCGATCGTAGAAGAACATTTCTCGCTCCATCTCGCGGGCTACATCCCACGACTCTGTCCTCGCTAGCAGGCCCGAAGCTCGCGACACTCTGTCCTCATTTGCTCGTCTCTCCTTCTCGGTCTCTCGCTCCCAGTGCTCGAAGCGACGCCTCTCAGCAGCCACATATCTGCGCTCAGCCTTGGTGCGCAATGCATCTGCAACGTCAGCACAGAGATATTCCACTTCACCCCCACGACTTCACTCTGCGTGTCTCTTTCTCACCTCAAGTCCTTCGCGCTTGGTAGTTTCACGCTGCTGTTCTAGCCTTCGCGCTTCTTCCTGGTCATCTCTCGCGATCGGATCCAGGTCATCACTCTTTACAAAGCCCAGAGGTCTCTGATAGCTCTGCGGTCCATCCTTGCCCACGCCCAGCGGACCAGCTCCATTTGCGTTGTTCGGAGATCCAGCAGCTGTGCTCGTCCAATTGTTGCTGGGATGATGATGAGTTTGCTCCCTCATGCTTTGAGCTTGAGCCATTCTCCTCTCCTGCTCCATCACCCTCTCTTTGCGCTTCTTTTCTTCTTGTCTAGCAGCCGAAGCTTGTCTGAACTGTTCGATCTCGCTTAGCACGCTGCCACGATGCTCCTCTGGCAGATCTTCAGGTGGTAGATCCTTCAAGTGGGAAGGCACGCTGGCATTGATCGACTCTTCTTGTCCTCCGATCGCATTGGGATCCTTCATAGCTTCCAAGATCGCCTTGATTGTTTCGGCTGATGTGCTCGTAGCTCCTCGTTCCTCATCCCCTACCACTCTATCTTTTTCGAACTCGTCCAAGAACTTTCGAGTCTTGTCTTGAGCTTTGACCACTAGCGCCTTGACGGTGCCTGCGCCTGCGCCCATAGCCGGCAGCTCGATGCCGTTCAGCGTCTCCAGCGCTCGCAACACTCCGTCCGCATCTGCAAAAGTCACAAAGCCAAAGTTGGCATTGACACGTTTGAACGACGTGATCGGTCCACAAGCCTGTGAGCGTGAGAGGACGAGGAAAAAGAGATCTCAGCGCATACACGAGCGAGGCGCTGTCGACCCAGCTAACTTCATCGTGCATCCGACCATCGTGCTGACTGCCGTCTACCAAGCTCTTGGCAAAACCCGCATACATGCGCACTTGACAAGAGACACTCACTAGCAACAGCTTCCTCGCCCACTCGTCGCCCACACCAGGCGCGATGTTTCCCACATAGAGCGTCGTCGAGACTTCTGTTCCTCTATTCCCAATTTCCTGAGCTCTCTGGGCCCATCCAGGGTTGATGCCATGCGGTTGACTATCCATGGATGGCGCATTCATGGCGGATGCAAAGACCATGGAGTTTGCACCTGTCAGGTGAGGCGGCGGACCGCCCATGCCGCCAGATGGCCCAGCGGCCATACCTGGACCTGAAGGTGGTCGGCCGTACATTCCAGGACCAGGCATTGGTGGTGGTCCACCCATGTAGCCTCCGCTCGGTCCGTATGAGCTGGAGCCTGGCCCGCCGGATCCTAGCCCTGGTCGAGGGCGTGCTTGATAGCCGTTCATGATGCGACGCTCAGGTAGACGGAGAAAAGGCTGATTAGATTGGGCGTGGCTGATCAGACTTCAAGATTCGACCCGTGACGGCTGTGCGTGACGATTTGCTGTGCTTGGGAAGCGGCAAGAACTGGCGTCCGTAGGAGTGTGGCAAAGGGCGAAGCAGTGAATGTGGCAAAATGCAAAGAAGGGTGGTGGATGAAGCCAAGGTGAAAAGGAAATACGAAGCAAATTGGAAATCGTGAATGCGTGGCCGGACAGTCACTTTGGCACAAATGATGCTTCTCCGAGATGTGAATACTCTTGAATGAGCCTCAAGTCGCCTTCGAACTGATTATTTTGACCCGAAGCTTTCTCATCACACGCGGAGCATATGCATGCGTGCAGCTGAGAGAGGAGTGGGACGCGTATGTGGTACCGCACGCCACGTGGATGTTCAGGCCCACAACTCTCTACTGGAGCGGGTTGCATGCGCGGCTGCCGCCCTTCTCCCGCTCACCTCCACCAGCATGCAGTTGTAGACCGGGGCTGGTCATTCACACTCGTGACTCGTGAACCATCGCTGCATTGCTCAGGCATCGAGCACATATTCGTCGTCTCACCATGATCATCTGGAGCTTCGTGTCGAGCACATTTCTGTTTGGACAGCTTGACTCAAGAATGGGAGGCTAAGCCTTTTGAGTGAGTGTGAGTGCACAATAGTGCGAGGACTGCGGGTGCTTTGGTCCGCTGATCGTCTGCCCCGCCGACCAGCAGGCATCCCGTCTCAAAGCGGAGCGCTTCATTGCCAGTCTCAAGTGGTGCAGGGTACGCGGCCGACGCATAGACCAGATACGCGCACTTGTTTCCCATCATTGGAAGCAAAGATGGCGTCACATCAGGTGGACTTGGACCAGATCGCGCTAAAGCGTGTACTGTTGGATCTGCTGGATCATCATGCCGAGCTATCTCATGCGCTGCTCACCAGCTCCACCGCAGTCGTTGATACTCCAGAGTCTATACGTCCTTTGCTGAGCTCTGTCAGTGCGAGCGACTATGCAGAGGGTGAGAAGGTCGGTGCACGTGCTGGTCCCAGCACAGAAAAGGACTCTCAGGTGCAAGACACTCTCGCTCAGCTGCAGCAAGCCGACCGGGCACTTCGTTCTCTTCTACCTTTCATCTCTCTCCACCGAGCAGCACACGATTCTCTCGCGCAGCAAACCGAGCGCGTCCACCTGCTCTCATCGCAATTTTCCAAAGCGTTTGGTGATGTCAATGATCTCAACACGGAGCTGGGAGATCTGGTCAGGAATGCAAAGGCGCAAGTGAAGAGTTCGACGAGGGCTACGAAGAGACCTTTGAACGTGGAGCATCTTTTGAGTCTTGCCAGCGTGGTAGGCTATCAGACGAGCAAACCTTGGGGAAGCGTTGGTTCTGCGACTGGGCGCAAGAAGGCAAAAGTCAACAAGGCGGAGGCGAGTGCGGATGATCGGATGGCAGAAGATCGAGCGCCGGGTGTGAATGGCGAAGAAGCGCCAACAGTAGCACACACAAATCATGAACCTCGAACCCTCTCGCGCTCTCCCACGCCCGCACCTCAACACCCCTCTCAACTAGAGCAGCACCTTCCCTACCCCTCTCAGAACATATTGCGCTCAGGATCGCTAGGCTCCGACCCGCCTAGCTGGAACGAATTTCGGAGACAGCGCAGGTTGGAGATGCGAGAGGTTGGTCAGGAGGCCGAGCGAACGGCACCGGAGGAACATGTGCAGGATGCGAATGGACAGCAGGAGGAGGTGTTGACGTGGACAGCTACGCAGAGGGAAAGGGGTAGAGCGGATGAGGATGCATTCTCTTTGGACTTGTAGGCCTCGCCCGCGAGTGGAGCAGCGCGGCGCGAACAGTGCGAACATCGCGTCATCTGAAGCTGCGATGGCACGCAAAGTCATACTGGACTGGATAGCTTGTCCTTCGTCTGCCGCCCAAGCAAGCAGAGATCGATGCTCTTTGGACATGCAAAGCATCCAGATCAGCTCGAGGTACTCGGCATTTCACGCAGCTCTGCGGCAGCCGAACAAGAGGCGGGCAAGACGAGACAGCAAAAGTCATCACGTCACGCGCTGCTCTGTTCGCACAAGCAACGAGTCCCAAAAGCTCGCGAATACCGCCCTGGCTTGTCCCACCCGAATCAAGCGACCGCACGAGATTCACGCGAAATAAAGTCGCAAGTCGAGACTTTTGCAAGTATCATGCCATGAGCATGTGATACATCCGCGGCGCGTTTCCGCAGGCAAAACAAAATACAAGACTTTTCATCCGAGAGGCAAACATTGCACTAAGGGCTTTGCTTTGATGCGAGGCTTGGTGCTCCGGCGACCTGAGCAGCGCAGCCCCGCTTCCACGGCCCAAGGGGGTTGATCTATCTTTTCAAGACACATGCCCAACTCGATATAGGTAAGGCCGGATGACAAGTGTGGATCGTCGTCGCGTCGATGAGGACATCAGCCACTGCATCTTTCGCGGGCGAGTGCGTAAGCGGGGCTGATGTTACTGGATTGACTAAACCTTCTTGGAGGAGACGCTGCGAGATGTGAAAGACTGCCACATTTCCAAAAGAATGTTACCGCGAGGCCCGAGTTGGCTCCAGTCGGAAAGAGTCGAGGTCGAATAGGATAGAGTGTTCGGCTATCTCCTCGTCTACAGTGCGGACATTGCTGATCACCTGCACTACGCCATTGCCAAAGCCAGTGCGCTCCTCGGTCGCAAGTGGTGGAGTATCAGCTTCAGATATTTCTCCGAACGAATAGTGCAGAACGGCGACGCTGATTGGTTGCCTGTTGCTGACCATCTGCGAGTATGGGCGAATAAGAGCGAGGCCCCGAGGATAGACCACCACGAGCGTGTCGGTGATCTCGTCCGCATACATGAGCGACACCCTGGTCATGCAGAGCCGACAGCGCTCCAAGACAAATGTGGGTACTGACCCTTGCAAAGACAGTCTACGATCCAGATTAAAATCTGCATTTGATCGGAATGACTGGCTTTGTCAGCCACTAGTACACGCGCGTGCGCTGATCTTCTCCAGTGATGTGCCTTGTAGGTCCGCCTTCAGCTGCCTGCTTTGGCACGTTGGTGCGGCCTCCAAAGTCGTAGTAGGTCAATCCAGAGACGCATCGAAGCAAGTATACAGTCGTTGCGTCGATATGAACATCGAGAAGGTCGTCGGTGACATATTCCGCGTACTGATCACCATCGCTAGCATCGTCGTAATCTCGAAACGACTCTCTGGCAATGTGGACAGCCTTGACATTTTCGAAGACGTGCTTCGTTGGCTGCCATGCTGTATCCAAGCGGCGATCATTGAGGTCGATGACGAAAGTGTGCTGCGTCTCCAGTCCCTCACTGAACGGCAAATGTCTCATGACTTGCACAAATTTTCCTTCCCCAAAGCTCGACTTGACCGTGTCCAGATAGATCGGAGTTGCTTCAGCAGAGTACCGCAAGAATGCCACATTCAGAATCGAATGGTCTCCGTGGATCGCAGAGTACGGTCTGACGAGGGTGACGCCCCACCAAAAAACTGAGATGAGAGTATCCGTATGCCGATCCAAGTGAACTGTCCTCACTTCCAGTGCTGAGCTATGGTATAAATACCCAGATTTGTTTTCCTTGGGTCGCAACACAAGATACCGTTCAGATGTATCCGTGCGGCACGCATACGAGCCGAACTCACCAATGGGCACTTGATCAAATTTTCCAGCGTCCTGTTGGAATCGCTCTGGGTCAACGATGAGCATGTGAAGGTTTTTGTGATCAATACTCACTCTCCGAAGGAGCTGCCTTGCTCTGCCGTCAAATCTTGGGCCTTTTGCCATTCTACTTCGAGAGAAGTACAGGCATGTTGTGGCAGCGCCAACCCCTTCGCCAGAACGAAAGGCAACTGGATAGTTCCGACCGAGACTTGCGACGCGTGCAGGTTAGTTCCACCCGACCTGAGTTGCGCTGGATGCTCCGTGATGGAAAGCGAAAGGGGATGACACACATCGCTTGAAAGTACAGACCAGTCTTCGGTAGAATAGACGACGACCCGATCCATATAGGCAACCACAAGAATCTTTGCTTCTGTATCGAAGTCCACACTCGGTACGCGATCCCATTCCGAGATAGATCCGTCGAGTAAGCGCGCGATGTTTTCATGCGTTCGCATGTCGATCTTGAACACATCTCGTGGTGGACGTCTGGCTGATACGGTGATCCGTGGAATTGCAATGCAGTATGGATAGTGGACCGCAACCTGCCAGCCCGGTAGGTAGACTTCACAAACTTTGACGCTTCCACTCTTGACGAGCCCCTGCTCCGTTCTCTGCCAAAAGTCCAAGACTGTGCCGTCATCTTCGCGTACGAATATCTCGCACCACGTGTTCCCGTAAAGTCTCAGATCTGTTCTGGATTGGAATGCTTGGCCAGTCGCCATGGGTCCGTAGATGATCATACGGCCCGAGACAAAGGAGCCGCGAAGATGATGCTCCGATAGCGACCAATTTGCGCAAAGACGCGCATACCTCTCGCAGAGGTCTTTGCGCGACGAGAGCTCGTCAAAGTAGGCGGTACCGCTCAGCGTGCTATCCGATGCCACCTGCGCACGCGCATCCAAGGGCTTTTGACGGCGCAGCCACTGAGCATGTAGAGCCAATCCTCGCCTTCGCTAGATCGAAGTGACTGCAGGCAACGTAGGTCAGCTTCTGTCACAAGTGCATGAAAAGCTTGTCAAACTGGGCGGTGGTGGTGGTAATCGTCGGAAGAGGGTGGAGGAGTGCGCGTACCTACAAGAGTCGAGCACCTGGAAGCTCGTGGGAACAGAAGGGGCAAGCATCCGGCATGCATGGGATCAGGATCCTGCTGCATGCACGGGCCGCGCCGCGCCGGGCTTGAAGCGTGAACGCGTCTGGCATTTTTGCACGTGACGCGTATGCGCGAACGTGGATCGCGAGCGCGCATGAAGTTCCAAGCCTTTCTCCTGCTGCTTTCGTGAGCTCTTCCACATTCTCGATTCCTTGAGTCTACCTTCAGTCGTTTCGATGGACGATCCAGTCAGAGAGACTCAATACTAAGCTCGTTTGCCTCATTGAGTATCATATTGGAAGGCTCGCACCACGATTTGCCTCTTGAGCTATTCAAACATGGGTTTATTGGGATACGATCACATTCGCGGCCTGACTGATGATTAAGGCGCTTTCTTGGCAGACTTCCTAATTTGCGACGTATCAAGGAGATCGACCGCCAGGAAAGGTCGCTCACGGCTTAGAGCCGATGTTGTCCGGGCCAAGTGTAATCGTGAACTCTGTTCTGTGTTCTTCTCATCTGCCTTCTGTCTTGAGTCGCTTGTTGATTGCGCAGTCTGTGATATGTTCTTGTTTCTCGTCTAGTCTACCCCCAAAGAGAAGGTGAGGTGCGCTCTTCACTATGTGATTTGTCCATTTGTAGCGCGAAATGAAGGACGGCGCCAGAGCCCGGTAGATCACCATCCCTGCCAACGCTGCCAGGCTTTGATGCATCGAAAAGGACAACTTTGATACTGATAGGCGGTATCCAGTCGATGCGGTTTGAGGTCGACCAGAATTTCGCAGGTATAGGCCTCTTTGTCGCCAAATGCGCCAAGTGGCGCAGAGAAAGACATTCTGCCACCTCGAATGTCGCTCACCGCTCTATTGCGATTGAGATGAACTCTGCCTGCTAGCGTCGGCGATTCCAACCCAAAGTATCGGACGAGCGCCAGGCGCATTTGGTGCCAGCAAGATGGATCGTGCATCAGAGAATATGACCGGATCAAGATGAAGCCTCCAGGGAGCATCACAATGAGGGTATCAGTCTCCCGGTCCACCGATACGTGCATTGGTTCCGGGTCGTGATCATTGAGCAAGGTGCCCACACGCTGCGTGTTCGACTTATGTAAGACAGAGCTTCGTGGGGAGATACATTGTCGAGTACTGACCTGACATCTTTCGAGACGATCTTTGAACGTCCAAAGGTTGAATGACCCACGCCTATTCACAGACGGTCAGGAAAAATCGTTGTCAACTACTTCCTTTGAACATCAGTCCAGACTCACTTTCCTGAATCAGAGTTGGCATTGGCTTTCTGACGTGGCATCGTTTCCCACTCGATGATCGTCGGTACTAGTGGTCCTCTCTTTCTTGTATGGCTGCCGGGGTCGAGGTAGATGGTGCCAACGGCAATATCAAGACTGCCCAAAATCATATCGAAGTAACACGCTGTCGGACCGCCTGTCCCGTCACCCTCCCATTCGCTAAGCCCGGCCGACGGTCGCTCCATCACGTACGAAAGCACAGAGCCGTCGCGCAGCGACTGAACAAGGGTGTCGTTGCCGGAGGTCGCAATGACGATCTGAGCCTCGAGGTCGAAATCCAATTTGAAAATGTAGGAAGGGAAGCTCAACGTCGCCTCAAGAACGACAGGGTCGCTGGGAGACAGTATGTCCCAGTAGATGAGCTGTGGCCTGTTGCGAGTTGCCCTCATAAACGTGACGCAGTAAGGAAAGCGAATGCAAAGGCAGTCTGCTCTATGCTTGCGCCCAGGTAGTCTTACCCTGTTGATCATCTTCTTCCGGCCTCCTTCCCATTTCCAGGTTTCCACTGCGCAAACAAAAGGCACATTCTGTACATCGTCTACTTCCATGAGCTCGTACAGAGAACTTGATTTGCCGCGGACTCTCCGAATACTTTCGCTGGGCGGAGGCGGTAGCGTGCCCACCTCCTCCTGAAGGCAGGTGTGGATTAGGAAGTCACTGGCTTCCTCCCAATTTTCTGTGAGGCTCACATGCACAGAGCAGAGATTCTTGAACGAGTCGACACCATGAAAATGAGTTCTGGCGCGGTAGTATGAGTAAGGTAGCCTCGGGGCACCCCAGATCTGATGAGGTTGGCTGCAATCGTCGGCAGGAGACCGAGCTGCTTCACTGATGAAAGGAGGCAGCTGTGAGTTTGCGCTACTGACCAGACGCCATTGATAAGCCACACTGCTCCATATATCCTCGTCGGCGTCGATCAGCCTTTTCCATAGCATACATACGCGTCGACCGAGGTACACGGCCCTAGGATCAGCATGGACCATAATCTGAGGGAAGATCTCTACCGGTAATGTCTGCATCGCTAGCCAAAGCGATCCACGAGTCGGGGGACTTTCGGTGTCTTGTATGCGCGGCTAGCTGTGAAAGGAGCGATTTCGAGTCGTGAGCGTCTATGTATGTGCGGCTCAGTGGGCTGAAAAGATGGGGACGTGCTCAGAGTCGGTCGCTGTTTCCGGAACGATCTGGAGCGAACGAACGAAGTTTACTTGAGGCTGGAAGTGCAAGAGCTCGAGTGCGGACGTGGCTCCTGAGTCTTACAAGCTAGCGGTCACATGCTTCAGCGATCAAAATCTTCGAATGAAGATGATGGTGTGGTTGGAAGAGAAGCGCCGAGCACCCTTGTGCGCACCCAAACTTGAATCCTCCTCGCACACGCGTCCCAAGCCCACGACTTCAAAATTCAAAATTGTGCGAGTAAGCGCATCACGTGTTGGTCGGCAGCGACGCGACGTGATGCCTAAATCAAATGCGCCCGCGCCGCCCTGCATTCAAAATTCAAAAATACGCCCACGCTGCCCCGCACCCGAAATACGCCCACGCCGACCTGCATTCTTGATTCAAGAATTCGAGACAAGAATCATTTGTCGATTCAAATTCTGATCATGGTTCGATTGACGACTCTTTTGTTTTGCGTGCGCACGCGCGACTTCTTCACAAGTCAAAGTCTCGACACGGCGGACTCATGATTTTCTTCTCGAAACTCACGATTCTATTGCCGTACCTATTGAGAGCGCAACATTCTCATTATTGCGAATGGGGTCCAGACCAAGACATTCTTTTCATGAGGATAGCATTTGTTTTACGTCACAATGCTTGTTGATCAACAGGGACCTCTTGACTGATCGTTCAGCCAATGAGTTGGAAACGCTGCAGGCACAAGGGAGAGGAGAGAGAGAGAAATCTTAGAAGCCGCCTTAAATTCTGTGCATCGCATGCATGGTTCGCCTGGTGGGCAGTTAGATGGCGCGCTTCCGTCATTCAAGCGGCCAGACCATCGTTCGCGCGTCTTTAGCTATGCCGGCTTCCGTGGCGACGATCGCAGTGTGCGCAGCAGTCTTGTGCCAAAGCTTCGATTGTTTGATGGACGCCGTGCTGTGCTAACTTCGCATAACGGGAAGGCGAAACAATGCCCAGCTCAATTTCCGCTCTGACGCTCTTGACTGGTGCTTATATAGCCGCGGGAAAGCGTGCAGGCCGTCTCGAGCACCAGACGTTGACGTTTTCAAAGAGGTGGTGCTTTGGCGTCCAGGTCGGGTCCAGACGGTAAGCATCAAGATCGACAAAGAAGCCGTACTCGTGCCCTTCCTCCGATCTATGTATGTGATACACGCGTCCAGAAGCGTAGTGGTTCCGGCAACGTCTCACGTCCTCCCACCTCTCCGAAACGGCGCTTTGTCCGACGACGTAGTAGTCGAGGAAAGCCACTCGTAGCGATGACCAATGTTCTGGAGACTTGATGCAAGTATATGGGCGCACTAAGGCCAGTCCCCAGTTGTAGCTGAGCACTAGCGTGACTGTCTCATGGTCTGCGTGTACTTCCAAAACTTTGGGTTCAATGATGTCCAAATAGCATCCTGATGCCTGAAAGCCTTCGTCAACGTGTCAGCTTTTCTGCGAAGCCCTTGCGTCTCGCAAGTATAGCTCGAACTCACGCTGGGCGTCTCTATGAAATCTCTAAAGCTACCTTGAGAATGTTGACGGTGTAAGTCTGCGTCCAGCTGATGCATAAGTCCACCGCCACGGGGCCACGCACCCTTCAAAGTCGCGAAGCCTGGCCTTCGGCTCATCTTGTGGAGAATCCCATCGGATGTCCACTTGCAGCCGCTCATGCTCCCGGTTCTCATTCTTCTGGGCCGAACAGTAGGCGGTACCTATGAGCACTTGTTCAGCTGTCTGTGCTAGATCGAAGGGTGTTTGTCTGATCGACGGTTCCGCGTTGATGTCGAGAAGCCACCAAAAATTGTAAAAAGGGTTCTCCGACAACACGGTACCATCACCACACGAGTAGATGACTGGGCTGTTCGTTCCCGACTCATTCGCAAAAAGCAGACCCTCATCGGCATCAAAATCTAGATCATCCAACTTTCGGATCACATCGAAGACCACAGGCGCTTTGCTGGACGACGTATCCCACACGCCCCCGTATTGCGGGAACCCACGTGCATTCGGCTGTGGTTTGAAGACGCAAGTCGGAGGTCGAACAAGAAGGCAGAACTCTCGCCAGACCTCTGGCAGGCATCCTGTCGAGCTGAGTGGTGTGCTCGAGTCTTTGTGGTAAAGTTGCAGAGTCCGTGATGATCCAATGGTGTCCACGACAAAGTCGTGTGAAGGGCAGTCCTGATGGACGCGCGGGCGGGACTTGCCGGATCCGGGTAGCTTATCTCTGGACGACATGTCCTCCGACCACCACTTCGCACTGGCGAATTTTCTCGATTTGAGGCTCTGATATGCGTCGATGAAGTCATCAGCTGTCGTCCATGAGAGCGTCTTTTGGACGTACGCGAAGCATAGAAGCTTGAATGAAGACTTCGTATCTGATTCTTTGATCGTGCTCCTCAAAAGCTGCGCGCGGCTAGCACCAGAAATCTCTTGGGTTGCACGCCGAGCCCTAGTACCGCTCGAAGCTGACAGGGCTACGAGGTCTTCTTCCAGATTCCAACAGCCCGCAATGCTGCGCCAGATGCTTCGTCTGCATCGATTGCCAGCTTCCAGCTCACGCAGACTCTTCTCGCGCGGAAGACGCTTTTCGGATCAAGGCTTGAAATGACCAAGCGAAACAATTCAGCTGGCAGTGCTTGCATGTTGGGCGTCGTGGTGGTGTCCAGGCTTGTGCTCCCACTGCAGCGTTTGGTTTTCGGGCAAGGCAGCTCCTATATGCACCCAAGTAAGCTGGTTGAAGATGCTTGGACCCCGAGATCGCTTTGAGGGACTCAAAAAAAAGTGGGTGTGTATGCGCGCCATAGGTAGCTCACGCGCAAGCACAGCGCAAAGGGGATGGATGGTGGAAGGGAAGAAGCCAGAAGGCGAGTCCCAGCACAATACATGTCAGCAATTTGAATGACGCGACTCCAGAAAGATAAATCTTCTCCAATTAAATGAATGCGCCGCACCTTACACTTGTCGACTTCTGGCCGCGGCGGGTCTTGACGCTATCAACAAAGAGGCGTGAAGAGGTCGTGAATAATCTTGAACGTGGCTCAAAAATCAAGAAAATGATACAAATCTTGCCACAAGTGAAGCGATTTGATGCGTCGTCTGTCACGTGCATGGCCTGCACAATCGATTTCTTGCATCGGAACTTTTCAGCAAGACAGCCCTGCATGTGACAGATCACTCGAGACTATGATGTGGCGTAAGAAGCACAGCCGAGAAAGGTGGTGGCAGATGCAGAATCAAGCGTCGCTCGATGCCACGGTGCTCGATGGCATGCGAGGCAGTCGAATTTGATCGTGAATGTTGGCGGCTCGTTCTAATTGTCTTTCTCGAGCGTCCCAGCAGAACTCTTCGTGTCGGTGGCGACCGCCAGACCGAAGTCCATGTAATATAGATTGTGCTCAGTGTCCCGTACGTATACTGTCGTCGCATCCAAGTAGATTGAGCGAGGAAGACCAGAGGGACGACCTTCAAGCTGGAGCTGCTCCATATTCGGTTCTACCGCGAGACGAGGTGGCATCTTCGAGTTGCTCCCTTGCTGCTGCAAATCAAAGATCCGGACATTGTCAAATAGATTCTCGCTCGTCTTGCGACGAGCCAAAAGACGGAATGCGTCTAGGTCGACCACGAAAATGTGCACCTGTCTATCGCCACTCCGATCTTTTAACAGCAATGCGTGACATAGACGCCCATTTTTCGATGCTGCAAAGCCTCCGTAGGGTCTGATCCGTTCAACGTGGCCATGGTCGTGTTTGGCAATGCAGTGATAGTGCAAGAGTCCCACCTGCAAAGGACAAGGTGTGTCGCGGTTCTGAAGCTTACTGAAAGGCCTCACTAGGATGATCCCCCAACGCTTTGTCAGTACAAGAGTATCCGTACTGCTGTCGATGTGCATTTCGTCGTGGAAACCTGTGTATAGATTATATTGCAAGCTCATGCCGCTGCAAACCTCAGCAGCTTTGCCGCACTGCAGGTTCAATCGAGCATAGGAGTCTCAACGCTTGTGGCAAGGCAGCTTGCAGGATCGGACGTACCTCCCGCTGCTCGAAGAACTCATCGATGCTCCGGCAAAAGTCAATGAATGGTCCCTCGTGGGTAAGTGTCTCGATGACTGTAATAGTGTTCGCGCTCACGCTCTTGACCTCACCGGTGCCAGATATACTCCAGTGGTGGGCACACCGCATCGGTCCTCTTCCAATCGAGCCGCAGGGCGTGATGCTTAAGTCCTTCTCCGCCGTCTACGGGGTAAATCGTACCCACAAATACTTGTGCGTGTCGCAACGGAGACGTGACTAGACTCTTGCCTTGAAAGCCTGAGTCTTGGTCCGCCGTGCTGTGGACATTCACACCAAATTCCTCTTGTGACAGAAGCAAAAGCTGGGCACTGGCATCGTAGAAAGCGTGATGGGGAAATTGGTCCTTGTCAACATGCATCTCTTTCAACTGGTCTAGTAGAAAGTCCCAAATGAAAACGGAGCACCTCTTCTGCTGCCATGAATCTAAAGCTCTATCGAGATCTCTATCGGGATAGTATCCCTTGACAACGATGCAGGTGTGTCCATTCAAGAAAGGTGGCACCAAAGAGCGATAGCGCATTTGCAGATAACCATCGTCCAGTGGTATACGCAGTGAGGCTAGAAGCTCAAATGCGCCGTCGACAATTTTGCAACCTTGCAGAATACAGAATGATCCCGGCGATCCCATAGCGCCCTCCATGTCAGAGCGAACGGCCCAGATGCCGTCGAAGCGGTAGTGTTCAAAGTCTCTTACACGTGGTCCGTCTTTGACTGTCGTATCCGTGGACTTCGAGGTAGCATCCTCACTGAGGAAGGCAAGGACGTCCAGTTGATGTTCTCTGTAAAGTCGACTCGCCTTGTCGTCCGACTTGTCGAATTCGGAGAGACGCAAGACACCACATCTGTCCGTACCCAAAAATCTGTAGAATAATTTGTGCGACGTCGTCATTAGGGCGCCCCATGGCGTCGCACGCTGTTGTGCCTTGGAGTCCCACCATTTGTGAAAGATCTTCGGGGTGGTCCAAGACCTGGAAAGACGGGCGTGCAGGAAGCACATGTGTTCGAATGATAAGATTTCGCTGTAGTATCCCGTGGCGCTTTTGAGTGCGGGCATATCGGGCTGATCAAGATCTGTAGGGAAGGAGATCGGCAAAGGCGAGTCGACGTCACGAATGAGTCCCCATTGATGCGCAATCCTACGCCAAACGTCTTCTTCGCTGTCAACCAAATTTCTGAGCCATTTGAAACCTTGCGAACATCGAACACCGTCTCCAAATCGACTTCTCTTAGTATGAGGCCCCAGATCTCTGTCGGCACTTGTGCACAGAGAGCGCCTGCCATCTTTGCAAGAAGGCCAAGTGGATGCTGAGTCAGAGCAAGCTCAAGACAAGAACTTCGAGTCGTGGGGGCCGCCACTATACCGCTAGGCTCTGAAGCGAAAGAAAGCGTCCTGACTGAGTGGTGGGTAAGGTAAAAGCTATGAGTCAACAAGATGGGGGGCGAAGCGTGACTTTATATGCATAGCGGCTGGACACCGATGTAGCAAGAAGTCTGGAAACAAAGAAGCGTGAGTGATGCAGCAGCTCCGAGTCGTCCAGAGTCACGAGCGTTTCGACACTTACGCCTCGATCGCGACTCACCACTCGTGCCTGCATGCACGTGTGACGCCATGCAGCCCTACTACCTCGTTCTCAGCTGTTGTGCGTGTGTGTTATGGATGTGAGAGTCAAGTGAGACACAACATCGCCTCATGCACAAGAAGCATTTCAGCCCCAAGCTGTGGCGCAACGCCGCGGATGCGTTCGACTGATGGTTTGCACATTCGGCTCATACAGCAGGAGCATGCTGATGAGTCTTGATTGCGCGCATGGTGTCACGAGCCTTATCAGAAGCCGCAAATCTTGAATGTTAGGTCTCGTACCGCGCTTGCCCAACGCTAGGATGTGGATGATGGTAAAGAAGCACGGGCGAAGGAGCGCTTCACGTTTCCTGACAGGCTGCTCTTCTCCTCTCCGAGGAATTCCTTTGCACGCAGGGCTTCATGCGCGCTTCTGCACGCGACGGTCGCGTAGACGTGTTTCGCGTGTCTTGCTCTAATTTAGCGCCTGGATTGAACGGCGAGAACGCGTCAATTAACGCGCATGCGCTATGCGAGATTGAGCTCTTGCGTCGCATGCCTTTCGAACTTTAAAATGTGGCTGCTTCTTAATTAACACGCCGTCCTCAGCGCGCGCTCCTGCACGTATGACTTATGTTAATTGAGACAGAGCGACGCGCGACGCATCCATTTGCATGCATCTTTCCCGGAGCCAGGTCCCGCTGAAGCAAGGATGCAATTACGTCCCGTACCCAAGTCTAGTAATCAAAAATGAAGAGGCATTTGTCTCACGCTCGGATCGCGATGTGTAGCGGACGTAATCAAGATTCAGATTGATTTGGCTGACCTCTTCATTTGACATGGCTTTGTAGTAAAATTAACATTTTCGTGTCAAACGTCGATCGGAGCTTATATGGCCGTCGCGCGGGTTGCGTGACTCGTGCGCACTCAAGGCACGCATTTGGCGCGCGCAGGAAAGTCCATCTCACCAATCTGCCCACCGCAGACCATGTGATGGACATCTCAGTCACGATTCGGACGCACCATTCGCATCTGCTCTCTCTTCACCGTCCGAGCCATGATCTGCCAGTACAGCGGTCAGAGATCGAAGTCGTTCTTACACGCCCGCTTAGCTCAAGCAAGACTCTGATGACAGAGCTAGGGCAGACGCCCAGTGGGCCTCCGTTATCCGTCTTGCTTCAAGAAGACGCAGCCGCCAAGATGAAGTCAGCCGCAAGCGTCAGTCATTCACAGCCAGCTGAAGCGCATCAAGCATCGTCGTCGACATCCCCGTCTCCAACGGGCACTCTCAACGCATCTGCACTCTCACCAGAGGTTGGCGGACTGATGGGCAGGCTTCCATTCGAGCTGTGGGTCAAAGTCATGGTACAGCTGGACCCAAAGAGCATCACGCGATGCCGACGCGTCTCGAGCTGCTTGAAGAGATACGTGGACAACAGCGAAGATATCTGGAGGTGTGTGGCCTATCAATGGAAGCTCATAGACAGCATATATGCGCCCTTGCCTCGCAACACCGGCTCACCGCGACCGGCAGAAGAACGACTCGCACAGCAAAACCCTCTCATGAGCAGCGCCACCGGCTATTTCAACAATATCGTCTCGTTCAGGGACCTTTGCCGACGACATGCGTGCTTGAACAGCACGTGGTCGACCTCAGACGTATTTGCTCAACGAGGTGGTCAAAAAGGCATGAGATCCCAAGGCTCAATTCACACTGGATTGCCACTTACAGGCGCTCGCTACAGGATCGGAAACCCCTTTCTCGGTACTGGGCCAGACGGAGACGTTCAGATCGATGCAGGCTTGTCCTCTTCAGGCTACGCCGTGGCTTCGATTAACGTGCTCCAAGAAAACGCGCACTTGGTTGACACTCTCCCTCCGCCTCAGGTCAGCTCTAACTCGATGGGCAATGCATATCAAAGGATGGGAGCTCTGTGTAGCGAAGGGTCTCGACACATAGTCATGTCTTACCAGAAATCTTCAAGCAGACCTACCTTGACGGTGATGGACTCTGTCAACGCGACCAAATTTGACGAAACTGCATCGATCGACCTTGCAGAGCACTTTGGCGCTCCAGTAGCGGCACGGCTCCGCGGGCCTCTCTGCGTTATGGCTACTATCACCACCAATTTGCTCGAAGCGGACCTGCCTGAGGATGACGAGGCTGCACTAGGCTTCATTCTGACATGGGATCTGCACAAAAATAGTATCATTTCAAGTTGGCGACTCAATGCCTTCCACCTTGTTGAGCATGTCGACTTCGACGCAGTCAATAATCTCGTTTTCCTGAGAAATGAGATTGGGAACGTAGGGGTCTATTGCCTGCTCAATGACGTCGAGACAAAATTTACCCAGTTGGCGTCGGTCTGCAACCCTTTCAACTTCAATCTCATAGACCTCCATGACGTTGTTGCACCCTGGTATATTCCATCGTCAAGCATCCGTGCTTCACAAATCTACCTCGGCACCGCTCTGCTCAACCTCTGTGAAAACAAAGCTAGACATTGCTCCCTCAAAGTGGCTTGGCGCTGCGTTGAAGATTCCTGCTTAAATCCCAGCGTTGTGAAACGAGGGTGAGAGATTCTTCGTATTTCTGTGGAGGTTTTCGTCTCTTTGCTCAATGACTTGCGCTGCCTCTGAGCCGATACGCAGCACTCTTGCCGGCCACATCAGGGAGTATAGCGTACGTGTAGCAGTCTGAACACCCACGACATGGTTTAGCCTTCTGATGCATCATTTTCTTTCTCTTCTTAGACTTTGCTGAGCCAAGAACATCTCGGGCATGTCGAAATGTCAACCTCAATCCGTTTCGACTCGAAGAACAACATGCTGATCATCACGCACGAGTGGGGCTTGATTCTGATAAAAGGCATGCGCAACGCCTCGAATGCCTCTGTCATGGTTGGTATAATACATTATCATGTCATCTCGGAGCATTCTTCAAGCCATCGCCTAGGAGTTCAGGAGACGCAGCGAGCTTTCACCACCGGTCGTGTATGCCAAGCAATGACACAAATGCCATACAAGGCGAGCGCCCTTACGCATCTAATTCTGGTCGACTACGACGCATTTCGTCTAGACACGAGCTGGAAGTGGAAAAAGCATCCGTTTGAGAATGTCAAAATTTGGCACATCGATCAACGCAGCCACCAAAACAACCATAAGCCTGATGCACGACTGTATACCGCAACACAAAAAAGGAACAAAGGATGGTCTTGCTCCGATCCTTTCGTGGGCTTGCACATGGACGCGACTACCATCTACACGCTTAGGACGCGCTCAGGCCTGGAATACATGGACTTTGGACTAGCCAGTCGTCCCAGAAGTAGACCACAGAAGGCTGAGGAGAGCCCATGGGAGAAGCATCTTAGGCGCTCGCGAAAAGAAATCAAGGATTCCTGGTCGCGGTGATTTCTTTTCGCGAGCTTCCATGCGAGACTTGTCTCTAGCACAAGGCAGACTCGCGGTCAGCAACATCGGACACCAGACTTGCGGATCATGTTTCCGCCATTCGCAAGACGCGCCGCACCTTTTCCCGAAACAGACCGACCAGTAATGTTGTGGAAAATAACCTCCACTTGACAGAATACACTCCTCACGCTGGCTTCTCCACGTCCAGCTTCACAACTCGACTTTCCCTCAATACTTCGCCAAAAGCGCGCTGGGTGCTGTCGCTATCAGAGCGCGCGACTTGTTTCACTTCGAAATCGATGACCTGAGGCGAATCGACTGACCGCACACGAGCACTTCTCTTGCACTGTCATTCAAGATTGAATTTGCTTGTACTACTGCTCACGTGGGAGGAGGACGTGAACGCGAACACGCATTTTGGGCTCCTTCCGCACAGATAGGTGCTCTTGGGACCTTTGCAGATACCTTCACGCTGGGAGGGACACGCGGATGATGATATATCGAGGTAGGCTAGTCTCGACTCTACATGCTTGTTGTTGAGGTGCGCGCATATGCACGTGATGGATACACGCTTCCATTCTTGATTCTCGTTCACAATGACTTGTCGCTTCACTTGCGGTCCTGCAGTGCCAAGCGAAAAATTTGCGAGTCTCCTGCGCGTAGACTTCGAGCGGCATATCGTGGCTTACTATATGCTTTGGAGATAGCGCAAGCGAAAATGCTTAGGATCTCGTGGGACGAAAGGGACTACCGGTTGATACCGTCACTCCTGGTCTTCTGGAGGGGCAGCAGAGGCGATGTTACTCGCGATTTTGGCTGCAATGCCAAAGTCGATGTAGTGCAAGCCAGTCTTTGCGCGCCAAACGTAGATCGTGGTCGCATCCATGTACATGTCTCGTACTCTATCGACGACGTCCCAAGGCTGCTCCCCATCCGTTACGAAACCAGGATGAGATGGATCGTTCACCTCTTCCCCTATTTCCGATCTTGATTCCAGATGCCAAAGTCGCACGTCTTCAAAAAAGTGGCTTTGATTTTTTTGCCACAAGGGATCCAGACGATGGTGTTGCAGGTCAATCAAGACGAGGTGAGAGTAGGTGATATCTTGATCTGTGCCCTCGTGCAGGGCTTGACACACTCTTGACTGGATCAAAATGGAGTCGCGCACTTGAGCAATGGTCCCGTCAATGTGCAGATCACCTCTGTCCAGCAATTTATAGTGGACCAATGCCACCTGCACCTGCGCAAGCAGATCAGGCTGACTTAGCCAGGAGAATGGTCGAACAAGAGACACTCCCCAGAGGAAGCTTGATATTAGAGTGTCCGATGCTGGGTCAAACTGCACGTCAAAAGGACTCATAGGGTTGCCCTGAAGTGCAAAGCCAAATGGCAATAGTGGTCAGATCAAGCCAAAAGCTGGAATGTGCGAGCAACGCACGGAGTAGCCCTGTATGAAGTATGCCAGGGTGCTGTTGCAATCAGACATGCGCATTTGAGTAGGGTCATGTTGTGAGAAGAGATCGAATTCATAGCGAGTGGGGGCTTGACTGAAGGAACTGGAAGAGACTTATATACATGCATAGAGAGGAGGCCTGTGCGCTATTCTGACCGTTCAGATGCCTCATGCAGGAAAGGGGACCGTGCACTCAATACTCCCCCTTCTCAACAGTTCCGTTGTCAATCAACAAGAAGGTCGACATACATTTCACATGAGCCCAAGTTGCTTCATAGCTACTCCGTGCTTAACTCCAGATAGCGACTTTGTGAGGACGTCAGCCTTTTGGTCTGCTGACGGTACGTATTCC